TATACAAACTCATCAACTGTAGGTAGTGAGTTACCGTACAATGTCATTTGAGGGCCGGTTGTGGGGGCATTGAGAACAGCACATTTTGAGGGACTCCATCGGTAGCCAATCGAGTGAGAGTGTTCAGCGGATAGGTTGAGCATGCGTTGTACTTGAGATGCAGATCCTAGGATAGCTACATCATCAGCGAACAAGAGGCAATTAATTGGAGTACGTTGAGTAGCACCAGGAGGGAGGACAGAAGTCGTACTTGGTGTAGCAACAGACCGAAGAACACCAGGCAGAGAGTTAATGTAGAGAGAGTAGAGCAAAGGTGACAGGACAGAACCTTGGAGTACACCAGTAGCAGGAGAGAAGGGAGTGGATACATGATTGGAAATTAAAACTGAGATGTGAACATCATCAAATAAATTTACCAATAGTGCAAGGATAGGCTTAGGGAGAGGAGAGTTGGCCAGGGAGTTCCAGATTACACGTCTATCGACGGTATCATAGGCGGCTTTAATATCAAGGAATGCTACCACTGGAAGACGATGATTTGTACGGAGGTAGTCACGTACGAGGTCATGTAAACAAAGGGCTTGATCAAGGGGGCTACGTTGTGGGCGAAACCCACCTTGAGCTACATCCAGTGGAGGGCTGAGGAGAGAGAGAGAGGCAGAGAGAGTGAATTCAAACAGTTTTCGAATGACAGATGTCAGTGAAATAGGTCTGTAGTTTGCTGGGTCAAATGGGTCACCTTTTTTGTGAATAGGGAATACATTAGCTATGCGCCATAGGCTAGGTGTATAGGACCATTGATAGCAGAGGGTAAAGAGAAGGGAGAGTACTTTAGCTATATCTTTGCCAAGAGACTTAAGCATTTCAGCCTTGAGGTGGTCAGAACCAGGAGCCTTGCGTGATGGTAATCGGTTGATGTGTTCTAAAACACGATCAACGTCAAATAGTCCGTCATCAGGAACAGGGAGAGGACTATTGTCAAGGAAACTGGGTGGTGGAGGAGGACGACTGGCAGGAGGAGGGAGGAGATTACCAGCGTATACGCTAGACAAGTGATTCGCCATTGCATCAACTGAAGCTTGAGGACCATCAAGATGAGCGTAGGTAGAAGAGCACTGTCTGCGACGTTTTATTCTTGCTAGGGTAGCAGTGGCTTTGGAGAAGTTGGTTTCAAGGGACTCACAAAAGTTTTTCCAGGAAAGACGTTTTGCTGCAGATACCAGACGACGAAGAGATTTATGAGCTGTAAGATGTTGATTCCACCAGTAGGCTTTGTCAACACCACGAGAGTGACGCCACCTGCCAAAGCAACGATCACGTTCTCGAGCGGCTTCTTGCATTTCATTGGACCAGAATACTTTCCACTTCTTACCAGAGTTAGGTTTTTTAACACCAACAGAAGAGTCAAGAGCTTGATAGAGGCGATCATTAAGATTTTGGTTGAGGCCATCAATATCAGGGCAGACCAGGGGAGGATTATACACTAGATCAGTAAGAGAATCGACAAGAGGAGCAACAAGAGAAACAAACTTGGACTGAAATAGCGCTTTAGGACCATCTTCACCTAGTCGCGAGAGATTCCATAGGCGTCTTGGAGCTATGGTATCTCTACCCCCAGATCCATCACCCCCAGATCCATCACCCCCAGACCTATCACCCCCAGACCTATCACCCCCAGACCTACTACCCCCAGATCGTAAAGCAGAATCATATTCAAATGACAGAGTCATAAGTCTATGATCTGAACCGAGAGAAAGATCAGATTCAACCACTAGGGAAGGGTGCTTGAAATTCCAGTCGGGTATGTTGGTTAGAAACAGATCTATGATGCTGCATTGTTCTGTATTTTGCCGGAATGTTGAGAACGTTGCTACACCATGAGACAGAGATGAGTTTAGAACCAGGAGATCTTGTTGTTCACACCAAGTAGTTAGATCAGCACCACGAGGCGTAGTAATAGAATCACCAGTGAAAGGACCAAGACGTGCATTAAAGTCACCACAGAGAATGGTGTCAGAGCCTAGGGGGATAGACCTTAAAGCGGAAAGCACCAGCTCTCGAGAGAGGCTGGGTGGGAAGTATGAACAATGTACATTGACGCTACCAATTTTCATTGATAGGGTATATGCATTGGGAGAAGGAAGTTGAGTGACAGGAATAGGACATTGAGGCGAGACAAAGCATGACACACCACCGGATCCTCGACCATTACCATTAGAGACCAAAGTACCGTAGAGATGATATTGAGACCAATTGGCAGTCAAGTAACCAGCAGTGAGCCATGTTTCGGTGATGAAAAGGAGATCGGAATTAGTGACATGAGATAGTACATCTTGGATGGTTGTAGCCCGAAGACCATTAGCATTCCAGAGACTAAATGAGAAGGAGCGGAGGGAGGTGTTGTTGTTCGAATTGTAATGGACACTCATTAGAGTTCCATTTCTGATTCTGAGAGAGGTTCGACTTCATTGTTCTTGAAGTAGAATGCAGCCTTTCGAGGATCCACTTGGTCAAGTTTCTTACGAGCACCAGCAAGAGCATCTTTGGCGTCTTCGTCATCGATCCAGCCAAATTCCACAAAGGAACGAGCAACAGGGCCAACAACAAGAGGACGCAAGAAGGTGAGAGTATCGATAGCACGACTATTGACAATGTCGTGCATCTTTTGACAACGTTCTTCGTATGTCAGGTCAGAGTATCTGGGATCCGCCAAATGTTTAGGATCAAGAGGATCAAAGTTTGGGAACAGAGTGGCGTCTACCTTAGTCATAGCATCTGTAAATGTTTTGACATATTGGACATGCATGAGTAGTCCTAATACTCCAGAGGCAGGAAAGGTGACATCCAGGATACGACCAGTGTCAATGCCTGAACGTCGAAGGCGAGAACGGACTTCAGATCGAATGATCTTACGTGAGCGACCAATATAGACATATTGGAAGCCTTGAGGACCCTTATCCTCGGTGCTTTGGAAGGGACGAGCAGCAGCGATTTTCTTCTTAAGTGATGAAGCAGGGGAAGTACGTTTGGGTTTTTCAGGGCGCGTTTCAGCGGTCTTGGTTGCCCATGTAGAGTCTTGGCTGGAGGAGCCGCGGTTACCATTCTCGGTGGATTGATTTAAAACCCGATGTGGAGTGTTGGTTTTGGATGCACCGGGGTTGGTTGAAACGGAAACAAATTTTTCTTTTAAAATTTTATTTTCCGAGGCGAGAATCATATTTTCCTTTTCAAGAGTAGAGATTTTTTCTTTCAGAAGTGCCATTTCTTTCAAAATTGTAGAGTGTTCGTTAACTTGAGAAGCGAGATTGTAGACATATTGCAAGAGTTGTCCGTGGTCGAGGTTGGGCTGTACAGAATCAATGGTGCAGTCCATTGCTTGTTGATTTTCCATTTTTTAAGAAATTAACAATTTTGAATTTTCTAAAAACTGTAGATCTTGTCCAATGGGGTTGAAAACTTGTTTGAAGGTACTTGAGGTAATAAGCTTTAATACTGTAAAACTTATTTTGGAAGTTGTTGCTAACGTTGTTGATTTTTTATCGATTTTAAAAGTACCGGCTAAAATATTTAACCGTTCAAATTTAATAAAAAGTTTGAGAAAGCGAAAGAGAGTGCCTGCCTAGCTAGCTCAATCGGTAGAGCGTGAGACTCTTAATCTCAAGGTTGGGGGTTCGACCCCCCCGTTGGGCTATCATTTTAAATTATTTTATTTTCGTGTGGTGAATGTAGCTTCTTGTATTGTGGGAGTGATTTTTATAGATGTGCTTATGTAAAGTTAAGTATATGTCAATTGCCTTAATGTCTGGCAATTGAGTCGTTGCGGTGCAGCTGTACGGCGTCGCCAATATTATTTTTATTTTATGCGAGAAAAAGATAATAGGTCCTCTCAAGTTGAATTTTTTTAATTTGAAATTAATTTTTTTTATATATTGTTACACGGCACTTTTTGTCGTTTTGACTTAAGATTTTTTTAATTTTTTTGACTGCTTTGTGGTCCTTTTCTTATAAAAGGACCATAAAATTATTTAATAAAATAATTAGTTTGTTCTTTACTTTAATCTGAATAAGTCTTAATACTTTAAGTCTTTGTGATTTTGTATTTATTATAATTGCTTGTAATTTCCTTCTGTAAAATCAGCATTGTAGCTATTCCATTACGTATTTAACTATACTCCTTCGAATACCACTCTTATCTGATTTCGTCGTATAAATTACCCTCTTATATAAATATATTTTATCTTTTTCAGTTGACAACTATATAGTCTGGTGCTCACTTTTTAAGAACTTTTATCTTAAACCTCTATTTTTATTTTCTTCTATTACTTTTACTAAAACTTGTCAGTAACACTGTTGAACTGTACGAATACATACACGGTGACAACTGGCATTCCATGCGTACACAGGATCAAAGCCCTTTACGAGCAACGCCAAGTTCTTCAAGTTGATGATTTTCATCAACAATGGAGACTTGAGCATTCTCCTAGCTCTGATGTCATGATCCTGTTACATCTTATGCCCCAAATATTCAATATGAGTAACCAGCTTTCAGACTCAATATTTATCATTGATCTGTCAGCTCTTTAAATCCTTTGTCATGATCCACATAGGCTATGACTAACTTTTGTCATTGCTTATTCTTTTATTTAATTTCTTGTTTTTCTTTCTCTATAAATATAGCTGATAAATTTCACTTCTCCCAGTTTTCTTTATCAGATGTATTTCATAATCATCTTCTCTTTTCTTTCCTCCCTTTTATTCTTAAATAAATAACCTGCTTCAAGAAGCTATTCATTCTCTGTCCTGTCCTGCCTGTCTCGTTCCTCCCTCGTTCCTGACATCTGAGCAGTTGGAAGAATTGGATCCGGAAAGCAATTTGGACTACCTCGTTGACTTGCTGCGTACCCGTTTTAGAAACGCAGCTCGTTACGAACAAGAGGAAATTGTATCGCGTCTTTTTGACCTGGTTCATTCGCCGTTGGTACCTATAGGGCCATGAAACGATGCCAGGTCAAGAGGAAGACCTACCGGTTCTACTGCGAGAAGAAATGACACTTCGTCAAACAGAAGAAATCCCTCCGCTTTTGAACATGCTGAAAGAAGAACAAGGCTTTGTGGAACTTGTAGACAGCCGGGACATGGCACAAGACAATGTTTCCAAAGAGTCATGTCCCAAGCTACTCGCTCATCTCATCAATCTCAGCAACAGCAACAAACACAATGATCATCTTGATCGCCTATTCTTATTTTTTTCTTTCAACTTTATTTTTTATCCTTTATTTTTTCTATCACATAAAAAAATCTCAAAGTCTCAATCGTAATTTTTCTAAAAATTCTTGTGTGTAATAGGCCAAAAAAAATCGAGGGGGTGAAAATAACAATTCCCGCTTTTTTTTCGACGAATAAAAGCTTACTTTCAGACATTGACTTACCTTTTACAGACGAAATAAAATGGAAATTCAGACATAAATGAAATCAGTTTTCAGACAAGTTTAGAAGAGATAATTTGTTTTGTCTTCATTTATCTTTAAGCTGTCACCGATGACGGTGCAGCAACCACATTGGAGGTGGCGCTTTGTCTTTGAAAGACACTTGGTGACCCATTGCCCCTCCAAATGGAAATAGCAATAGTCTGAACATACTCTTCGATGCTAAGACGTCTCGGTTCCAAAAGATATTGCAATTGTTGCAGTTTAATATCTGATGGACTTTGTGATCACCACACTTTAGATTCTCCAAGTTCTTTACGAGACAGCTATTACACGTCTAAAAAAAAGAGCTTTGTTATTAATACTTTTGCAAAATGAACATCTAGCTACTTCACCTCGAAAGTGTTGTACTTGTCGATATCAAGCAGTAACAATTCACCCAAATTCTCACGCCGCTTTAGCTGTCTGTACAACATATTGATTACTCCATGTCTTAGTCCTTTAAAGCGGACATGCGACTTGTTTTTTAACCCGTCTCCGAATATTACCATTGGCATTTTGCTTTTATCCCCTTCTTCAAATTTTTCCTTAAATACCCTTTAAAAGAATAAAATGATTAATGCTCCTAGAAAGAAATGGAGAGCAGTTTTACCTCGCCGCTTGTCTTCCTTTTTTTGACTGATTGGTGTTTAAAAGATCTCGCTTATATCTGCTATTTAATTTTCGTCTTTTACGTTTATTCCGCCTAGTGTTTTTTCTCCTGTTTTTGTTGTACTTTGTGGAATCGTTAATCAAAATATTGATAGCAAGATCCGTAGCCTTCTGTTTCCCGATATAGTTGGACCACCTTATTCTAGCAGTTTGGAAGTCATAAAAAGTGACTAAGGCTTCAAAGTGTTGGAGCATATATGTTATGTGCCTTTTATAGTTTTCAGCGCCAGTTGTTTTTGGGGAAGGGATTCTGGTTTCAATATATTCGATGTTGTTACTTTTCTTTCTTTCTAGTTCTTGTTTCTGACGATTGATGACTCCGTTCATATTGTAATACTCAGAGCTAGAGAGGCGTCTTACATCATTCTTGCCATGGTATGATGTAAAAACATCCTTCCTATTGGGATCGACTGTACATGGCCTGAAATATTGTTTGATCTCTTCGCTATTGAAGTTGTTCAAGATCAGAGTGACATTTTCCAAAGATGAAACATGTTTTTCTTTTCTACAAAAAGAGACTCTACATGTATAACCATCGGTATAAAAGCTGTTCAAAAACATCCGACCTTTCTCATGCAGTGATTGTAATTCAGCCAGACTGTTCTTGTTAAAGATAAAAAAGTTGCGTATTATCCAAAAAAGATGTTGCAAGCTTACCTACTTATTTTAAATTTTCTGAAGTTGAAGCATTCAAAGAAAGATCTTTGTGTGAAAGAAAAAGGTGTCTCCTCTTGTACTTGGCGGATTCTCCTTCCAAAAATCCCATGTAGGTTTTGATTATCAATTTTAATAAATCACCATTTTAAGCTTGGATTCGGAAATAAACTGAAAAGCCTTGGTGGTTGGAATCGTTTCTCTTTATCTTTATGCGCATTTGAGATCTTATTCTTTATTGATGATTTCTTCTTTTTAGGCCTTTTCCGTGACTGATTTGAATCCTCAGTTTGTTGCAATAAATCGGACTGTTGTGGTAAAGTCAATGGTAATTGTATCGATGTTGTTACTTCCTGGTCGGCTTCAATTATTGATTCGTATTTAGACAATATATGTCTAAAAACTGGCATTATATGGAAAGGGGCCTTATTTAATGTCGCTTTTGAGATAGGAGCTGGTGGTAAGCGATTTTTGATTTCTACAATCAGCGGGTTTAGATATTTTCGAATTTTGTCTTGCGTTTCTTTATTCACAGAACTCCCAATGTTTTCTGGAAAAGTTGATAGTTGCACATTAAACAATATTATATTTCTAATATATGACCGTACATAATAGACTTGATATAAGGCATTCTCAAGTCCTACGTATTGTTAATAACAACCTTTTGTAGACACAATATAAAATTTTCTTTTACCTGAAATTCAGCACGGATCATATATGTGAAGTAGTTGCTGATAATGTTTTCAAAATTTTCTATGTAGAAGTTGTTGTAGCAAGTTGCAATATTTTTGCATGCGGACGCTAGTACTTGACCATAGTTGGTAAGGCCTTCTTTTTTGACAAACATGCTTACACCTTCAATGCCACTGAGTCCCGTCCATATTTCTTCAAGATGAGGAATTTGCGAAATGTACTTCTGCTTAAAGCTTTCAATTGACATATTCTCATTTATAAGCCGACATAAAGAATACCAAAAGATTTGTTGGAAAAACTCGTTTGGCAAGTCAGCTGGGTACTTGAGAATATAGTAATTTATAAAAAACTGTGCTCTATAAATCACATTTCTCAGAAACATAGATAAACTCTTGATTTTGTTGATGGTGTTATTAAACGCATCATCATCAGATGTGGGGGAAAATGATCGAAGTGGTATAGACACTGTGTATCTTTGATGATTAAGGCCAATTTTGTTTTCGATAGTTTCTTGTATTCTGAAATTATGATGGCTACATTGCTTACTTCTCGCAGAATATAGCTGCTGCTATTACAAGATTGGAATTGCGTGCCCGTTTTGCTGCGCTTTTGTTGTGTTTTTCTTCTGCAGTATTCTTCCGTTTTAAACCTTTTAAAGACTTAAGTTTTTCTGTTTCGTTATTTATACATACTTCATAGATATCACCTTTTTTTTCTTTAGCTTGGACTTTGAAATTATTATGTACTGCTGTCCCTTCGTCTTCTTGCTGCTGTAGCTTTTCATATAAATGCTGCTTTTTTAGCTTTATGAAGCTTTCAGTATCTGAATAAATTGGGATACGCATATAGTTAATATACGGATAGAAATGAGGATGTTATTACAAAACTTTTGTTGAATTGATTTATGTTGTCGACGCAGAGGACTGTTAAATTCAGCAGAGCAATGATTAATTAATGTATTTGATCATAATAATTAAAAAAAAAAAAAGATGCAAAAACGTCCTGCTTAATATTCTATAAGAATGGACTTTCTAAAAATATTTTCAGAAGCGTGTAAGCTTCGATAGCTCTGCTAATTATTGAAAAAATAACATCCTCAAAAGCTTGCTTTTAGTTTTTATCGATTTAAACAAATGCATCCAGGCTCTTTACAATGTATCTTCTAAATGACTCTTCTTTCTTATTCTGAATTATAAATTCAGCTTTTTCTTTCAGAGATGATTGATACTTATGAAATATTGAAACAGTGAAATGAAAGTCATGTAAATGTTATTCCCATAGGGGGGGGGGGGGGCAAAACGAGCAAACAACTGTAAGATCACACCAGTTTCTCGCAGAGTTGATAGACAAAAAAGACTAAAACCGATGACACTAAAACAGAAAAGTCCAAAAAAGGCACAGCTGCTTGTCATTTGTAACCTTTGTTCAAAATGTCATGGATGTCCTGGACAGACACAATAAGTATGGCTTTTATATCGTCATGGATAATTGCCGAATTCACTATATCCATCGAGTTTCGTTGATGCAATCCAAAGTAGGGGATATAAGCCTTTATATATGCCCCCATATTCACCATTTTTGAATTCTATTGAGAAGTGCTGGTCCAAGATCAAGAAGCACATCAAAAGAAATCTGCTTTCCACTTTAGACACTTTAACTCCTAGAATTAAAACAACCTGTGAGACTATCACCACAGAAGATTCCATTGGTTGGATACGACACTCTGAAACTTACTGGGATAAATGCCTTGATAAAGAATCAAAATTAGTATAAACTTTTACTTGTCTGAACAATTTTTTTCCCTTTGTCTGAACAATTTTTACGTTTGTCTGAATAATTTTTTACGTTTGTCTGAATATATATATTTTTTTTAGTCTGATTTTTTTTTTTTTTTTGAGCTTGTCTGAAAATAATTTTCGCTTGTCTGAACTTAACGTGATAATACTGTAACAGATTTTTTTTTCATAGATGCATAGGATTTAATGATCCGACTTAATTTATTTACTATTCATTGTTCATACAGTGCATACAATTCATAAATAGAGCCTGAAGTTAGTTATTTTGATCCAAAGATAAGCTCTGCTGATAATAAGTTTGCATAAGGTCTCTGTATTTATCGGTTCTAATAAATCGTGGAACCGAATCCTGAGCCATAATTTTACAAATATGCTCATTTGCCAGACTGTATAGACAAGTTATTTTGTATAGACATTGCTGAGAGCTGTCTTCTAGACCTTCCTTCATTACTGAAATTGTTCCTCCATTACCATCATCACTCCTTGCCACTGAAGATGTAAGTATACCATGGGTTGAGACAGAAACTGAACCAAAAGGAGCATCCACTCTTACTGCTGAAGTTAAATTATTTCTGATATTTTTATGGATTTTTGGGCAAGGTTTGAAAGTTGCTTGCATATATTTTATGATCTCGTGGCGAAGTCCATGGTCTATGTTCAATTCACTCGGAGCATTTTGAGGACAGAAATAGGTATTATAAATAGTACTGCAATGGACCAAAAGAGACTCACATGATTCATTTGGGAGCTTCTCTATTCTCATTTTTTGTTTGGATTCATTATCTTCATAATCTTCTCCTTCTGCCGTAACACTTATCTTCTTGACAAGTGATGTGTAATCTACCCAAAAGTTAACGTTCTCTTCACAGAAACTTGACTTCAAAAAACGCCGGAAATACAACCGGGTTAATGGATCTTGTAAAATGTTCTGTAATCGAGAATTTTGAGAGCTACATTGTTGTTCTGAAACGTTTGAAATGGGGGCAGCGGAGACTTTGAGTTTATCCAATTCTTCGTGAAAAGAAGTAATGGCGACATCAGTAAGCGTTTTCGCCGAGTCTTTTGATGAAGATGAGGATACTCCGACCGTTGTCGCTGAGGATGATGTAGTTGAAGAAGCAGAGGAGAATCCAAAATCACATGAATTGTTATCAATCTGAAGAGACGACTCCTTATCCAAGGCAGATGTATCTTCTATTTCGGTTGTAATTTTCTGCTTTGTAATAATTGCCTTTGGAACGATAACGCTGCCGGATATGTCATTTGGCAACTTTGATTCTGCAGTTGTAGGTAATAGTCGGCTCGAATGATCTTCTTTTTTGGAATTATTCGTTTGAAGTTTATTGCAATCTGCTCCGGTGCTGTCATTACTGCTACTCGTTGAACTTTGAGTTCTTGATCTTGTTGCTACGGATAGGGTGCCATTGGGGGCTTGTGACTGATTTGTTGAGTTACTCTTAACATCCAACACAGATCGGCCTTTATTGGTCAAGTAATATTGAGTTTTTCGGCCTGTTTTAAAGACGGCGGTCGCATCTTTTTTACATTGACCTTTATCTGATTTGTCAAATACTTGTTGAATCCAGCCATATAGTACAAATTCGGCTGCAATCGCTTCTGACTCTTCATTTGATACGACACTAGTATACTCCATAATCCACTCAAAACACTGATAGCCATAAAAAGCATCTGTGTAAGAATCTATGATACTCTTATTGTCTAAACCTAAAACGTATGAGTAAAACATGAAATTGTTTGGAATATACTATAAAATGTTTTTACCACCAATTTCGTCAATCATGATATTGTCTGTGGGTAGCCATTCCATCATCACTCTAAAGGCCTGGGTCATATTTGATCTCGAAAATGACAGTTGATCATCGCCTATTAATCTTTCGAACATGACAATTTGAAAATTAGGAATTCGATTCAAAGACGTTTGCATATGTTGGATTGAGACACGTGCACGCTGGCTAAAATCTTGCACCATGAATTTGCCCTTTGGTGTAGGAGTCCAGATACTGCGATCCTTCAAAGTCCTATTTTGTGGATCAGTTGCACTCTCAGCCAACCGGGCGTTAAGAAAATGCTGGCCCAAGGTTTTTGCCATATTTTTCGACATACTGAATGTCGTTGTTGTACGTGTAAGTAAAGGTTGACTCTGGTCTAAAGGGTTTGGAGTTGATACAAGGTGAGTAAACTCTAAATGACTTAGACATTCAACAGCTTCATCGGTCGTAAATGTTGAAGGGTAATTTCGAAGAAATGAACGATGATCAGTAAGAGGTTGTTGAATGAGCAATGCTGAAAAAAGATCGTAAAGGTCCTAAAAAAAAAAAGGTCAATAATTAAAAAAATATAATTATTAATTAAGCTTTTACCTTTGCATAAGGTCGGCCTTTTGAGTTGACACGCATCATTGTCGTATACGTTGACAGCGAAGACGATGGTTTGGACATTGTAGTGATATGGCAATGACAATAAGTAAAAAGAGAAAACAAGAGAAAAAGGAAACAAGAGTTAAAAGTTTTATAGTAAAAAAAAGCCCTTGATAATAATAACAACAACAACGTTCAATGTCGTTTGTGTACCCACCATTCTTCTCAAAAGGTGCGTTTTTTTTTTAAAAAAAAAAAAACCTAAAAACCGGCTAAACTTGCTATTCATATTACAGAAAACAGATTTGGCCTTACCTAGAATAGGTCTGGATAGAAATCTGGTCCTTCGGATGTGCTCTGACAGCTTCCTCATCTATATCTCGTAATGGCCCGACCATGCCATTATGGTTTTAAAGTTCGGTCTGATGTAAAATGTTATGCACCCGGGCATTGATGTTGTTTGATTCAGAGATAAAGCCTTTTCCAAAATTTAAGATCTTTGTAACCGTCAGTTAAATAAACGTAGTCCGACTCGGTTTGCTTTGCTTTCATATTCTGCGTTTTTATTTGCATAACTTAATTACACGAAAAAAGTTAGTTGACTCTTGATGCATTTAGCCATTATAAAAACATTAAAGGATTGATTAAAAAGAAAGATACACGGATTGATATACCACACATTTGATGAGATTGTTTTTTTATAGACCTTAAAAGATAAACGTTATAAGAAGTTTTTGGTCCTAAAATAAAAATCCCAGTGTTCTTTATGAGTTAATCAAATCCCTTGAAATTAGAACTTTTTAATCGCTAAAACGTAGTGATTATTCAGCAGGTATGGTCTGCTTAACATGCGTAAACAAACCCACTCATGGTATCTGTCGAAATTTAAGTATATAATACTTACATGTTCCATAAACTACTATTAGTGTACTTTTTAGACCCTCTAATACACGAATAAAAATGCTTGACACAGACACTGATGTGCAATTGATTTATCCGTGCGCTGCATTGTACCTTTGCCTTTTTTTTGATTTGTATGACACAAAATCAAAAACCTGTTCATAAATTCAATCCACAAAAGTTTTTTTCTGGCTTAATGCGAGACCGCAAAAAGTTTGTTCTGCTTTGATTTAAACCCTTATAAAGAATGCAAGTTCCGGATGAATACATTGTGGTACCCAAAAGTGAGCCAACTTCATGAAAAACAAATATGGTGTAGTAATGTGTGTACTACAAGAATAATACCTGAATAATTTAAATCAACAAGCTATGATGCAGTTCCAGGCTCATAAATTAAAGTGCAGGTCATATGACCCATTTAAGCATCTATTTCAAATATGCTAAGTAGTGTTTGTATGAAATATTGTTATACTTGATGTACATTGTATATATGAAAATAACGTTAACAAAAACCTTACAAAATTATTTAAGATCCATTTTTTTTAGTAAAGCTTTAAATAGGTATTTTAGATTTCTTTTCCATATAAATTCCTAATTGACCTAAACGGGTTAACTTTTATAATGTGTCCAAAACATATATTTTTTGCACTGGCCTTATTCTAAATCAAAATGGGCGATATAGAGGAACGAGAATTCAGTTATTTTGGTCTAAGTTTAATTAGTACATTTTAATTTTTACACAGAATCAAACTCTAAATTCGTTGATCCATACTTTGAATTGCTCTCGGATGATATGCTTTTGAGGGCCCCAATTTTTTTTTTTCTAAAATTTAAAACATTAAACTAATTCCCCGCTACCTGATATATTTATATGAATGATATATTTTAATATATGGAAAGATGAGAATGAACAATAAATTGATTTTCCGGGATTTCGGCTTACCTTTTTGTTACCTGTTTTTGTTTACACATGTCTAATACTCTGTGTTTTATTTTGATCTTGTTTGTAACACCAAAATTAACAATATCATTCGCCACTATTAGTTTTTTAGTCTATGTAATGAAAATCATTACTGTTTTCTGGCTAAATCCGCGAGTCTAAACATGCAGACAGTATATTATTATTTGTAGGAAAAGATGGTATCATCCTCAATATCTTGTATTTTTGAACCACTTTCTCGAGTATCAGAGAAACATTTTGTTGTTTATCCCACGGAGAACTTTAAGATAGTCAACTTTAAGCAAGTTTATGCATGATATCGAAACCTGACTCACCAGAAAAGCATGTAATATACGCTTACAATAAGAAGAAATTAAATCTATAACGTCTTATTGACACGTTATCACCTCCTGGTTTATTTTTTTGTATAAACAATGAGGGGAATTGATACTAAATAACAATCTGACATCGCAAGATTACTGGGGGTATAAGTCATCAAATTTTTTTCTAAAAGTACTGAGTTACTAACAAACTATTCCAACTATCTTATAAAAGCCCCAGTTGTTAATATTCAGCAATTATGTTGTTATTATAAAAATCGAACATGTTTATTATTAAGGTTGTGAGAATTTCTATTCTCGCAGCTGGTTTTTCTAATTTTTAACTTACCGTGGTATGGATGTATAGTCTATGAAGATGATATCACTGCATATTCAGGTACATTATGTTGACTGACAAATAATGTAGCGTCGGATCGATGATCGGAACAAAGGATTTCCACGCCGAGCTTAACATGGTCAGTTTAGCATAGGAAACAAACGCTCGGATGAATATTCTGTCGGTCCTAAACTTTGTTTAGATCAAGTAAACACAACAATTTTTTTCGCGTTGATGAGTCAGCACTATTTGTAATGATAAGTTTGGTCTTAAAACGTGAAGTTTTTTATATTCTTGCTGTATAAAGTGAGCTTCAAGAACCTTCTGTAATAACTTGACTTGATTCTCTTTCTCAAACCCTTTCAGAGCGAGAAACTCTCATTTTAAGCTTAAATATGTCTCACATATAACCCAGCCTTAAAAGTCGGCACCAGTAACTGATGAACAATCAGCAGAAAAATAAAAGTTAGTGTGCCTGTTTTACTATAAGTAGGTCTGGGAAATATATTGGGATACGTAGCTAAATATTGTATTACAATGCTACACTTCCCATTGAATTCATCAAGTTTTGACTGAACGCTATAAAGAAGTAACTACTTCATATAACAAAATAACGTCATTAAGAGTTATCAATAGAAACACCTCAGGTATATTAGAATCTGGTTGTAGAAAAGGTTTATAAACTAAGTCATCAGATATAATAGTCCAATATATCTGTTTTTATAAAATATGTTTAAAAAATGTTAAAGAGAATGCTATCATTTTATAAGCGGTGGTGACCCTGACTGAGAAAGCTGCGGTTCTCGTTTAGAGAGTCATGGTCAAAAAAAAAAAAATTCAAATATTAAAAAAATGCCATTTGATAAAGACAACTTTTCCCAAGAAGGTTACTTTGTTGAGTCTCTTTCTAACACTGTATTGTAAACAATTATTTTCCTTGGGAAATTGGGGATAATTACAAGGTATAATCGAAGTCTGATTATTTTTGTGCTGTCCAAAAAAAAAGGGTGCTACAAAAATACAAATGAACCGTTCCAACTAAGAGGAAAAGTATGCTGCCATAAAACTATAAATATAAGGACCAATTATTCTGATTTTGGCCAATCAAGAAGAATAATCTTTCAGTTTTGTCCTAGCTGTCACTATGTACCTTATTTTCACATCTCGGTCCCAAGTTGATTTTATGATTTGGCTTAAACCAGGGATAATTCAATTTTTAATATTTTAAGCCTCATATGATAATACACATGTCGTATAAAAGAGTATCATCATTTCATTAAACATGAAGTTGGTAGTAATGTCCACAGAAAGAAAAAGACAACATGTTTCCCCATGCATGTATCATAACGGAAGCAAGGGTGACAGGTGAACCTTTCAACAATGAGACATAAATTTGTCTTGCATAAGGCTAAATAGATCAGGGGGGGAACCTACAGGACATAAAAAAGCTGAACTTGCAATTCTGGCAAATGAAATAACTCGTCTGTAAATTTAAAAAGAATGTAATAAAAATAAACTCTCTGTATGCAGTTTAAGTTAGCTTTATTCATCTTTTTTTATTCATCAGGGAGCGGTTAAATTGATTAATATTTGAAGTGTGCATAGAATAAGAAAAAAACACTTTGAAAACTGTGAGAAATTAGTCTCCTTTTAAGAAGTGATTAAATTGGAAGATTTAATTAGATTTTATTTTTATTTTTTGGCAAATATGAAATATACTTGCATAAACTATTTTGAAAAATAGTGACGATTTACAATTATATATCTATAAAAAATACGCCTCCAAAGAAATAAGTGTATCTAAAACCCAGTAATTGGCTATGTCGCCAAAGGTCGTTTATCTTAGTTTACATGAAGATTCATGTACGAAATATAGTGTCACACATGGTTTCGATCTGCAGCTTTAATTGAAAAATAATCACACTGAAAAAGGGTGGCATAATAAGGTGATGTTTATACACGATTGGAGACTTATCAACTGTAACGTAGCAAAGACAATATGTAAAAGCACGCCTAGCATATATGCATTAAACTCAGCTGGTTTTTTGTTGTTGTTGTTGTTGTTCATTGTTACTATTTTCGAGATGCTATATAGTCTGAGGTGACTCAAATGCGTGCAGAATGACATAATAAGAGTTGCGTACACGTAATCCAAAGAGTGCAATCAGTATATCGGGGAAACTTTATAAAGAAACCATTACGTATGACAATCATTACACAAAGGTGCTACTTTTTTGCAGTTAGTGCAATTCGATTGGGCAGTTGAGGGGGATCGAATTGGGTAATTTCGAAAGCCACCATTAAAAGGGTATTTAAAACAGGTGTAACCCAGTTCATTGTCTCTTCTTTTTTCCTTCAATAACTTAACAATGGCACAAATGATTGCGAAAAAGCAAGAAGAATGGAACTCTCAGTAAATATTTAGAAATTGGTGCTTTGTTTTTACAAATGTTTTAAAAGAGTTGACATTTCTGTTTCATAGAAAAGTAAGAGAACTTTTGCGATTGCCTGAAAATAAAAAGTGCTTTGATTGTCCCACCAAGGTAAAAAAGAAGAAGAAAAAAAGGATGGCAAAGAATTAAGTGTTAACATTGTACAATATAGAGTCCGTTCTTTGTTAATGTCAGTATACAAACGTTTCTATGTACTCGCTGTTCTGGTTTAGTGTAAGGATTGGGTTTAAAGATGATTGAGCAGTATGTTTAATATTATAATGTAGTCGAGAAGTAGGACATCGAGTCAAGTCCATCTCGGCCAGCAAGTTCTCAGGACCAGAGATTGTTGCCCTTCAACATGGTGGTAATGAAGTAGCTAGAACAATTTGGCTCAGTAACTATCGTATAGACACACCAGAGCCCGAAACGGATGGAGATATTCGATTATTTATGAGACAAAAGTATTACGAACAAAAATGGCTTGATCGTCAGAAGGGAGTTGCCCACGCAGAGAATGTAAAGCGGATTATCACCGAGTTATACGCACCTGATGGAAGTCGTAAGGTGAATACAACTGTCGGACGTAGTGGAAGTATTGATAAAAGAAGGAGTTTGGACATTCGACCCAAAATAGCACCTACTCAATCATGGGTTGATGATAATGTACCTATTGGACTGATTCCTGCCGTGCAACATAATAAAAATGCAATGGATGATTTGCTATTGAACGATGATAACATGCTCTCACCAAAATCGCCTAGTTTCTCTTCTGTACCCATGTCTATAATGACACCGCCTCCCTCTTCAAACCAACATTTTAGAAATCCACCTTCATCCAATCAGCCCATCTTAAACCCACCTGCAAGTAAACCCATGTCTCCTATTACAGGTAAATAATAATAATAATGATAAACATGGGCGTTTTCAAAGTGCTCATCGCTATTCTTTTATACAGTATCACCAACAAATGATATATTTTCAGAACTGGCTGGTCTTGCCACACATACACCCATCGCTTCACCAACTTACTCTGGTGGCATTTTACAACCCAATTCACCCAAACCTTCCACCACACCCAGTATGACACCTCAGCCTCAGGAACAACAGAAACCGACAGTGTATAAAGAGGATCCGTATGCTGCATTGCGTGATTTGTCTATAGGTTCCAAACCAGCAGCAACACCTACAATGAACACATTAAAAATCAAAACATCTGACGATGCTATGAGTTGGGGAGGTAGGTGCCAAAACAGTTATATGTTTTTAAATGAAGTTTTACTTAAACTATTTATCCATTCATAGATTTCCAAAAGTCACCTACGAGAATGTCATTTAACAAGCCAATGTTTAGTGATATAGACCCATTATTCAAGTAATAGGGACTTATGATTTGGTGTGTGTATATTATTTTATTTTATATAAAACTTTTTTTTTTTTTATTATTTCTTTCTCTTTTTTTTTTTCTTTTTTTTTTTTTACCACTCAAAATCACCATTTGCACGGTGGAACAAATAGTCTCTACCGTTGACCAACATAATGCCATCCTTTAATATGCACTTCCACTTATTCTTTGTTCTTGTAACTTTATCATATAAACACAAGATGATATGCTCAATTTCCTCTCCTCCCTCTCCATCGTCATCGTCATCGTCAGTGTCATCCAAGTCTGAATTAATATCATCCTCGTCCTATGTTGATACAGAGATGAGTGAAACTGTGTAGGGAAAATAAATAGCACACAAGACTTACAGCGACTTCCTCCTCTCCTTCACCATCCAATTGAGGAATACGAGTTTTTGATTTTAAAGCACCAGCCTTAATGGCTCTCTCTCTAGCTTCCTTCATTAACTCTTTGACACTATCAGGAAGAGATTCTAATGTAAGAGGTTCACCCGAGAACGACGAGGCAGAAAATGTAATTTCATGCTCTTCCTCTTCTTCCTGACTTGTTTGAATCATATCTTCAATACGTTGATCAATTTCCTATTGCAAGAAAAAAAAAATAGTGTTAATAGCATGTACTTTTCTCTTTTTCAATCGTTGCTATTATTACACCCTTTTTTTTTTATAGCTATACTTTACACGAGTAGTTAATTCATCATTTGCACCATCGTTTTGAGGAAGATTTGGTCTGGGAAGTCCAGGTAATTGTAATTCGGGAAGGTTCTTTGAACTATCGCTATTGTTGAGAGGAGGTTGCATCATTTGGTATTGATTAGCAAGAGTACTTGGGTCAGGGATCATTCTTGGTGGAAGACTATAACCTTGTGGTTGTTGCTGTTGCTGATGTTGTTGCTGTTGTTGCTGTTGTTGTTGTTGTTGTTGATGATGATGTTGTTGCTGTTGATGTTGTTGATGCTGTTGCTGTTGATGTTGTTGTTGTTGTTGCTGTTGTTGCTGTTGTTGTTGTTGTTGCTGTTGTTGTTGCTGTTGTTGGGATCTACCAGCAGCGGTAGCCAAATTAACTAAACTAGCGGCAGCAGGTTGACCAGCGTATTCTGAAGGATACTGTAATGCGGGTTCATTACCATTATTCGTATTGAGAGACGCTGGAGGATTGGGAATTGAATTATTGGCCGCAGCAGAATTCTCGCCATCTTCGTCATAATAACCATCGTCCTTAAAACCAAAGTTGGCTACACGAGATCTAGCTACTTTTGATTCCCAAGACTAAGAAAGAAGAACATTAGTCATTGTTTTTTTTTACAAGTGAAAAAAAAAGAAGGGTGTTTTACTCTTTGTAATTCCTGCAAAATAGCATCGTCTATGCCCATATCCTCGAAATCACCACGTACTTGATTGATGACATCGTCAATCACAAATCGATAAACATTAGACTAAAGAAATGAAGTAAACATTAAGAGCCAAATAAAGATAGTCTGCGATATAATTTCTGTCTTGTTTACCACAATAGCGTTAGACATTATTGTATTTAAAAAATTACTACGACTCGAGTCAGTGAGTTTTATTTTTTCTTTATGGAGCCAAAAAAAAAAAAAAAAAAAAAGGTATTAGAAACTAAATGTTAATGAATAAAAGAGAAAGAAGACACGTTTTAAAACAGATTGGATCTAGATCTACCTTTGAAGATTCTTTTTGAGAAAAAGAGTTACAAAAAAAAGAAGCCTTTTTATATAAAATAACGGAAACAAAAAAGATGCGAAAAAAAATAGTGGGCTATTTATAAAAAAAAAAAAAAAAAAAAAAAAAAAAAAACTCAACTGAATGACGACATGATTGGAGATTGTCCGGACCGGACTGTTCATAAATAAAAAGTGGCATTGGTGTCATGGCGACACTTTTTCTTTTCCCCCAAGCGTGTTTCCTCTCTGTGTGCGTGTGTGGTGACTGGGATAGCAAATACTCGTCAATGCGCATATGTCTAATTCGTTTTTTTTTTGGACAATTTATTTTTATTTCATGTAACTTTTATAGCATTTTTTGTGTACGTGTGTGTGTGTGTGTGTGCGTTGAATCTAGTCAGATCTAATCTTGAGGTCAGTTAAATCAACTTGGTTACCAGTAACAAGTCCACGAGGACTAGCGTTTTCGAAAGATCTAAGGAAACTGTCAGAATAAAACTCAATAAGTGCATCGTAGTATACTTACTCAGGGTTTCTCATACGGTGAATGGGAGCACGTTGAGCATCTTGAGCAAATAATCTAGTATTGAGCAAAAAACCATTAATAACTGATACATGTGCTATCCCCCCAATGTTCCGTTTTCTTTTTCTTTACTTGTATTCAGCGGCAGCAGTGGCACCGGCCAAGTTGGCATGGTTAATTTGATCGTTTTGTTCACTGGTAGTCATGTGGTATTCGAACCACTTGGTGATGGGATGCTTTTCCTATAATGAAGGTTAAAACAACCTTTCATAATTAAACAGACAATAAAAAAAACATACGTCGGAAGCGCCAACAAGGTGTTGATCAACTCTGAACCATGCAGCGGTGGCAACAACAGCAATGACAGAGTTTCTCCAGAAATTGTTACCGAAAGCTAAGGAGAAAAAGATTTTTTTTTTTTTTTTTTTTTTTTTTTTTTTAGATTTTACGTTGTAATGCAATTGTTACTGAAAGTAAAAAAAAACATACATTCTTCGGCAAAATGGTGAGTAGCTTGATTTGATTCAGTAGCGTAAGAACGAGCAACTTGACGGACAGGTGATCCCTTCAAAAGTTGGGCTTTACAAATTAAACGTGATGCCATTGTGTTATAATTTATATTTTGTAATGTAAGTTGGAAAATAGGCTCCTCACGAGTGTGTGGGGATTATTTACCCCCGAAGCATGCCAATAAAAAATTCATAACCTAAAGACGTCATCATCGGGATTATGTAGTGTATACAGCTATCTGATTTAGATCTCGGTTGTAGGTGAGGAAAAAGGCTTTTTTTTTTTCTTTTTCTTCTTTATCATTACATATATAAAAAATGTCAGCACACTCTGGAGACGAACTTGATATTGATATTAAAGAGCAAGATCGCTTTCTTCCTATTGCAAAGTAAATGTTTGTTACGTGTTTGATACCTGAAATGAAGCTAATCTTTCTATATAAAAAAAAGTGTTGCACGTATAATGAAGAAAGCACTCCCCGAAAATGCAAAGATTGCCAAGGAAGCCAAAGAGTGTGTGCAAGAATGTGTCTCTGAGTTCATTTCTTTCATTACAAGCGAAGGTATATTTTTTTAAGGGAGAAAGTCAATGTATCTTTCTTTTTTAACCCGTAATAAATTCTGTAGCCAGTGACCGTTGTCAACAGGAAAAGAGAAAGACGATTAACGGTGAAGATATTTTGTGGGCAATGCAATCGCTTGGTTTTGAAAACTATACAGAAGCTTTAAAGATATATCTTGGAAAATATCGTGAAGTAAGTTTTTAAAGATATATAAGGGGGTTAATCTAAACGCGCACGTTATTGTTACTATAGACTACAAAGATCGAAAGAACTACAGCAACTGGCAAAGAAAAGGAGGAAAATGTTGATCAAGTACAACAAGTTCAACAACAACAGCAGCAACAACAACAGCAACAACAACAATTATATGGTGACCAGCAACAACAAATGGCTGGTTATTATAATGGAAATATGTAAATAGGAAATAAAGAAAAAAAAAAAAAAAGATGGCTTTTTATTTTAGGAAGTTTTGATTTCCCATTTGTAGTGTCTGCTGTTATTACTTTTATTGTTGTGTAACTACGAATAAAAAAAGACAGGTTATTTAACTATTAAAAAGGGTAAGCGTGCGAAATACTTACAGGTAAATAGTCTGTTTCATTCCACGGAGAAGAATTGTTGGAATCCAATATATGATGTGCCTATTTTTTTTTCCCACAAAAATTAATACATTTACTATATTTGGATGAAATGTCATTTAAATTTTACCTTGCTTTTGCTGAGGGATTTATAAATGATCACCAAAATCACGAGAATTAATAGCCCATGCCAGTGTCTAAAACTGCTGTTGGATTTTTGATTCTCCCTTGAGTAATTGTTATAATCTTGATAAAATGAATCATCGACATGTGCGTTATTCACAGTATCGGGTTTGTGCCAAGGTATCTCGTTATTTTCAATGACTGGTACTGGTATATTATTATTAATGTTGTTATTGTTGTTATTGTTGTTGTTATTATTGTTGCTATTATCTACAAGATCATCATATTCTTCTTCGTTATTATTATTATTATCTACAATTTCTTCTTCAATCATTTCTTTTTCTTCTTCTTCTTCAGGGCTACTGATCTGCTGAGGAAGATGTTCAAAGAATTCAGTAGCAGCTATATTTTTAAAGTCAGGGAACGAATCCGCTGAAAAGTCATCATCCTCTTCCTCTTCCTCTTCTTCTTCTTGTTCTTCCTCTGGGTCATTTATTTCTTCAGGGTCTTCCTCTACGATATCATCCTGGTCTTCTTCTTCAGGCTGGATTCTTTCCTTGATTTCTTTACTGCTACTGTGATCGATTGGGTCGTCTTCTTCTTCAGTAAAGTCTTCTTCTGTCACATCTTGTAAACTTTTGAATATTCGGTAAGCATCATCACCTTCTGAATCCTCGTCAATGGCATTTTCTACTCCACGAAACAGTGATGTATCATCTAAATTGGAGTCTAGGTTTGATTGAGCAAGCACTTCTGTTGCTCCCTTCTCCTCCTGAGCAACTGTCGTCCCGAACAGTGTAAAGCCAATTAGAATTATAAAAATAGCTAGCCTGGGTACACAAATTAGTGTCATGCTGATACAAAAAGAAAGAGAAGAAGGAAAATATGAAGAGAGAGAAAAGAAAAGGAGAAAGAGAGGTGAGAGAGTAAAGCGAGTGTTGTTTATTTATATCTTTTTTTTTAACACCGGTATTTCAAAAAAAAATACTTCTTATTTATATTCACATCACATGTATTTAGTATTAAGGCTGTCGCAAAAAGGGCAGAATGATTTTTTAGATTCCCGTTTAGCACACATGCTGATCAACCCTATTGGTCTTTTTCTATTTTCATTGTACTAAATTCCCCCTTCACATATCTGACTCTGGCCTTTTCTCTTCAAATATAGCAAACCTTAAAACAGTGACGATCACTTATAAGTGAACACAATCCCTATATATTTATTCCTAGATTCTGATGCTAACCATTCTGGTGTTGCTAAGGAAATCACAGCACGGTAAAATGTTTATTTAGAAATTTTATAAAAAGAAAAAAAAAATATTTATGAAATTAATTAAAACTGCTCGTGTCACCCTGTTAATAATAAACACCAGCCATTTATCCTTTAGCCATCGTGCACACTTTTTTAACTTGGTTTTCGGACCTTATTGGACCAAATCCTTTCAGAAAGAACTTCGTTGCTGCGAATGCCTACTGCTATGCACCAAAGTCATTGACGCTAATGCATTTAATATTCATTGGTATAAATCTCAAACAGATCAAAAAACGAATAAATATTCACGAAAATGAGCAAACATTTGTAGATGATAAAAGCTTAAAACTTGGTATTGGTTTACAGTAATTCTTTATTACTACTGAGACCAACTTTACTATTATCTTGGAATTAAATGAGTAGTCAAAGCAGTTTTTACCTACCAACTAATCCTAAATCCATAACATATGAGCTGAGATTCATGTCATTTAACGATATTATGTCAGATTTGTGTAAGCATACTTTAGTTTTTCAAGAAGAGCCTATCAGCAATTTTATGAATTGGTGTACGGCACAGAAGCTTGAATTTCTAAATGCAAAACTTAAAAAGAAGCACAAAGATCATGAGATAAGAATATCACAACGAGAATTATACGTACTAAAGAGTGGATATACAGGTATAAGTAACGTTTAACATTATCTGTTCATTATTATAAACTATGTCATTGTAGATAATTTATTAAAGAGATAGCTGAAGTCTGTCAAAGATATCAAGAATATATAACCACTCTAAAACACGAAGGCTACGGGTTATCGTCGTAAATCTAAAACAACAGCAGATAAAGGTGAAGTTGTAAAATCAATTCAAAACATGATTGCCGTATTGCAAAAAAGGTCTTTGGTCGAACGTATTTATGTCACTATCGGCTGCAACTGCAAGACCCCAATGAATAGAAGAGAATTAAAAAAAAAAGCATGAAAATAGGCGAGTTATCAGAAGTGAATGGTGATGCGCAAGGCATTCAATATCTCGATTACGAGTAATTTGCGCGTAAATAAATAAAAAAAACTGGCGCGAAAATGGAGTAAAAATACGATAACCCTTAAGTAAAGAAAGTTCTTAAAAACAAAGGTATGTAATAACAAAAAAAAAACACCATCTTATAAAATGAAATTATAAATTATACTAATTTTGTTGATGTATATCTAATGAAGGAATTAGCAAAGATGAACAAAGTATGCTTAGTGGTCATCGATTCGGCGGGTTTGAGCACAAACATGAGTGATTTATGATCGTCTATTCGGTTTATGAAGTATTGTTTTTTTGCTTCAGTGGGTATCGCAATGTTTAAAAAAATCATCATTGATACTCTCGCTCATGATAATCAAGTACATGTAGTAACTAGAATGCGCTGAGGAGATCGTTAAGCTGAAATTCTTGTTTAAGTTTTATGGCCGAGAAAAGCTATTTCATTGATTCAAGTTGTTACCCTCTATCACTTCCTATGATCTAGTTGAGTCTATTTCTAAATTTAACAGATTTTTATTAATTAAATAAAACTAGCATTATCTTATCGCTTTAGACGTTTGTTTGGTTGCAAAGAAAGAATTCTTTTCCTTTTACTAATATTGTGACACAATAACAATGTCAACTCCCCATTGTTATGGCACTTGCCACTAATTTTTTTTTTCAATTTTTATTTTTTATTTTACTTTTTTGCGATTATTCATATAAGATAACTAGCGTATACAACAAGAAGTTGTTATCTCTTTAGGCATGTTTATAGCAATGGACATAAAGACTTTTACTCACCATAAAAAAAGAAATCTCCGCTTTTGTGGCACTAAACATTTTGTGAATTGTTGCTATTCCTGTCAGTCTGTGCATAAAAAACCGCATCATTTTTTCATGTATTTTTGCCAATGAACAATGTAATTTATTTCTGCAAGAGGACATAATAAGAAATTCGCCACAGAACAGGTAATCGGGGGGGGGGGCAATCAGTCTGATAGCAACCCTTAAAATAGCCATTGTTTAATCACAAGTGTGCATCTACCATGTTATTTTTTTTCCCGGATTTACAGAAAACAGGAATGTCCAACAAGGAGTTTCCCACATGGTTGGTCTTTTAGTGTGTGATAAAATGATTATGTAAGACAGAAAGAACTAGGCCAAAGTTGTGGCTAGCTGGAGTGACCCATAGTTTGGGAAGGATGCTCAACTAAATGATCAGCATATGCTTTCAAGTGTGCCTTGGTAAAGTGAACATCAACTCGTGCAATTCATGTTGAACTCAGCGGTTCCCATATGTATACGAAATATATATAAAATAAAAAAAAGTACATTATCCTATTTATGGTATGATACCGGGTAACAAAAACCACATGATTTATAGGGTTTTTTTTTTAGGTCAAACCAACACATCTTTTTCCTCTCCTTTTTATTTAGGAGCCGGGTATGTCTAAACGTCAAAATAGTTTAACCAAAACAAACTTGATTTTTTTCTGATACAGTTTCAATTCAATCAACAACAAAACACCAGAAAGTGTATTTGGTAGTTCTAGAATTGGATTCTAGAACTAGACATGGTGATCCATGGCCCGTCTGCTTTGATTACCCATGACCAGTGATTTGATCCGATAGCCCTTATGAACATGATTTTTTTTTATTTATGCGTGAAGAAAGAGGAAAAAAAAAAGATAAATTAATCTATGGAAATATGACGTACCTTTTTCTTGTCCTAGGCGAAATATCACAGAGGATCTTTAAAGGGTCATACAGTGATATAAAAGAGAAATAATTATTACCAACAATGGATTTTGTTTCAGATAAGGATTTTCTTATCATACTTATACATCAAAGGAAGGCATTTCATTGGTCGATAGAGGCCTTTTTTTATATATAAACAAAAGCTTAATGCTGGTTCCCCTTCCCTTCGATATACATCAGCCAATCATTGGGAGATGAGTACAAGATGAGTAGATTTTTTGGTGTAAATAAGGGAACGGACAGTCGTATTTTTTTTTGTGAATTCCGATCTCTCAGCATTTATAATGTATCGTTACAAGCGTTTAATTTCATGTGGACCAGTGACAATGAGCCTTGATGAGCAAAGAGGCAAAAAAAAATCAAGTATTCCCCATTTGGAAATCTATTCGGCATCTTAAATTATCAGGATATGCCCTTTTCCACACTATTTTTTTATTTTATATATATGCTTTCTTCTTAAACTAACACTTTTTCTCTTTTTTTTCTCTTTTTTTTCTCTTATACATAATCATGTTGTCTATAACAAGAAAAAAGTCCACTACAACCACAACACGTATGGCAGACCAAGTACTCTCAAGTACTTTATTTCCTGGTATAACAGATCAGACATCGATAGATGAGACTGATCAAGCTAAAAAGAAGGACCCTTTGGCAAGTCAAGTATGGAGAATGTACAGTCAAGCTAAAGACAATTTACCCAATGGATCCAGACTGGAAAACCTGACTTGGCGAATGATGGCCATGACATTAAAAAAAGATGTGGATAATGTTACCTTAGCAACCTCGGAACCCATGGATTCGGATCCTGAATTATTAGAGAATACAACTACATCTAAATCATCACCAATGGTACAAAAAAAGAATAGCTGTATATTTTTTATTTTTCACACATTAAACTCTATTTTTATTAGACAATCAATAGAACTACTACTACAACAAATTGTATCAATATCCCTACAAACTTTAATGAAAATGACGCTAGTCATGATGAACACTCTTCCTTCTTGTATGGCAATACACCAGCCTATGCTTCTCCAACTTCTTCGTCTACCTTTTTCTTTGGTAATGACCCTCCTTCTATGGGCACCATCAGCTTTGAAGATATGTTTGGTGCTTATTACGATCCTACTTTTGCTGGTCAACACGGGGAAGTGCCTGCACCTCCCACATCGAATACTAGCCATTACTCACCGTCTCCATCCACTTCATCCGTCGAAGATGAATACTTTTCCTCTTCCACAACACCTACACCCACTACATCCACATCTAGTCGTGTGCCTCAGAACGGTATTACGCAATGTGCAAACTGCTCTACAAAGACAACTCCTCTGTGGCGAAGAGATCCTACTGGTAATGCATTATGTAATGCATGTGGGTTATTCTTAAAGCTTCATGGTGTTGTCAGACCACTTTCATTAAAGACGGACGTGATCAAGAAAAGAAATAGAAGTAACGCGCAGTTAAAGAAAGACCAAGCGTCTTTATCTAGTTCTTTACCCAGCAGCAGTACGAACATACCAGTGAGAACAGCTCAAACTATCAACAAGAGGCAACGTCGTAGTATCCAACAAGAACCCAGTCTATCTAGCTCATTACCGGTTGATCCTAGTTTGAACTATTTTGGAACGTCTTTACCCAATACTACTACTACTACGATGCCAAGTGCTAGCTCTTTATTCCCATCCTCGCCACCGCCAGGACTTGTACATTCCTCCTCTAATTCTTCGCTCGCTAGCTTAAACCAGTTCACCCCCCACAATGGTGGTGATGTATATTCAATGTTGGAAAATATCGGTGTTCAATTAAACAATTTACCACCTGAATTGTTACCCTTGATTGCTTCTGCTGCCAATTATCAAGCCATGGCGACAGCCAAGCCTTCACCTGATTATAATCCATTCAACCCTCAAAACAACTACTTTTAAAATAAATAACTTGTTTAATTTTTATATATGTGATATATCATGTTTTTACTCTTTATTAGTGTCAATAATTTCTTTTTGAATCCGTTCGACACGATCATTTGTTTGTGCCATCAGTTTATTTGCTGATGATAGACGTTTTTTGGCGTCCAAGAGTTTTTCGAGACATGGCACGAGTGTGGGGGGCTCTGCGATATCCGTGAATAACTCAAGCTCTAGAATAAATAACGGAAGCGTTTATTAGGGACAATTTTTGAATTTTTTGTAGGAAGATTCTTTTTTACCTGCAACTAAACGTTCAATCTCTTTTCCAAGATCATCTTGGCTTTTTTGAACGGTTACTATGGCTTGGTCTATTTCCAGGACAGCAGGTCCCAATATCGAGTTAAAGCCTTGTGTCAATGGTATTTCATTCATGAATGCTTTATTGTAAAAGAAAAAATATATAAAAAAGCCAATTCTAAAGAAAAAAGGCGCCGTTTCAACCCCCTCTCTGTCGTCACGGCTAAATTCTCGAAAAGCAAAAACTTTTTTTTAAATTTGTTTTTTTCTAATTGTGTGATCAATCCTTTCTTTTTTTGAAAAATCCTACAGGTAAATTGAAATGCAAAGACATGTTAATTAAGCTCTTTCAATTAACGCTTGGATTCATAGAAATATCATCATGGCTGATTCCAACAAACCCCAATTCTCTCTCCCTACCATTCATGACAGTGAAGGTGGCTGGGGACCTGCTAGTGATGTCATCCCTCAACAATTCCGTGATATTCCCTATGCCCCTTTCAGCAAGGCTGACAAGTTAGGCCGTGTTGCTGACTGGACCAATCCCGAAGGCCAAAAGCAAGACAACAACCAAGCTACTGGTGGTCGTCAAGGTAGAACTGGTTTCAACCGTTTCAACAGAGGTATGATTGAATTGATTTTTTACGAAAAAAAAAAACATGACATTTATACATTCCATAGATCAACAACAAGCCTATGGTGCTGCTTTTGCTTCTGCCTTTGCTTACACTCACAATGAAGATGAATCTTCCTTCTCCGTTGTCGACAACCGATCTGCCGGTACCAAGAAGCAAGCCCTCAAGGCCGTGGGTGGTGGTAATGTGCGTACCAACCGTGTCCAAAACAACAACAACAACAAGCAAAACGGCGGTTACCGTACTGTCAACCAACGTCCCAACAATGGCGGCCGTTACCAACAACAAAACAACAGACGTAGATACGGTTATAAGGATTATGACAAGCCTCAACGTGTCCGCAACGCTTCCATCAACATTGGTTCTGACTGGAAGGTATTGGATGAGATTGAGTTCAGTCGTTTGAGCAAGTTGAATTTCGGTATTCCTAAAGCTGTTGATATCGCCACCTATGGTGCCGTCAATGTGTACAACAAAACCTACGATCGTGTCAACACCAAGAACGAAAAGATGCTCGCTCATATTGACCGTGTCAAGTTTGATACAACCACATCAGAGGATCCCATCATCCAAAAGTACATTCAAGAGAACAAGGCTACTGTATTCGCTACCGATGCCGTTCTTTCTCTCTTGATGTGTGCTACTCGTACTGTTTACCCTTGGGATATTGTTGTAAAGAAGACTGCTGATGGTAAGGTGATTTTGGATAAGCGTCCCGGAGGTGTCTTTGATTTCGTTACTGTCAACGAGAACTCGTACGATCCCCCTGCTGAATCAGACAAGGATACCATCAATTCTTGGTCTGCTCTTTGTAACGAAGCTACTTATATCAATCAAAACTTCTCTCGTCAAGTTCTTGAGAAGGACGCCAAGAAGTTTGAAAACCCCAACCCTTTTGCCACAAACGAATCATCTGAGGAATTAGCTTCTTGTGGTTACCGTTACAGAGAGTTTGACTTGTCTAATCCTGGTGCTGAGGAAGAGGAGGAAAAGATTCAAATGATTGTCCGTACTGAAGTGGATGCTGCTGTTAAGACTGGTGATAACACAAGCTATGTGACTATCCGTGCATTGAACGAATTCGATCCTACTGCTCAAGGAGCCGGTGGAGCTCTCCCTTGGAAGAAGAGTTTGGATTCTCAACGTGGTGCTGTTGTTGCCACCGAGATGAGAAACAACGCTGCCAAGTTGGCTCGTTGGGCCGTTCAAGCTTTATTGGCCGATGCCGAACAACTCAAGTTGGGTTATGTTGCACGTTATAACCCCAAGGATAACTCTCGTCATGTTATTTTGGGTACTCAAGCTTACAAGCCTCGTGATTTTGCCTCTCAAATGAATTTGTCTTTAACAAATGGTTGGGGTATTGTTAAGGCCGTCGTTGATATGTGCTTGCAATTACCTGAAGGTACATACATTATGATGAAGGATCCCAACAGACCTATTCTCCGTGTTTATGCTGTTCCTTCCGAAGAGGATTTAGAAGAGGAATTCGAGGAAGAAGAAGAGGAAGAGGAGGAGCAAAAATAAATTTTGAAAAATAAATAATAATGATAAAAAAAAATAATAATATTATAGCTTTATTTAATAGAATAAAAAAATAAAATCAAGTCCCTTTTTTTTTCTTTCAAATTAGACTTTTGCATGTCTTTTATTCGAAGCTTTTGTTTGTCTCATATTGCGTGCTGTCTCGACAGGTTGGATCAAGTTTGTATCTGTTACCAACTCAATATCAGCATTCTTCTTACGATGGATGTCTCTCATAATACGCGAGACGACGGATTCCCAACGAAGACGAGAGTAACTTACAGCATGGTTAAACTCATCATCGTTATTCTCACTCCACACGCCAGGCAAATGATTTGGTAAAAGGCGGATCAACGTACCAGCAGGAATAGAGAGTGATCCAATGGCGACTGTAAACAACCATTGGCTCAAGGTCAAAGGTACCGTCTTGAACGCTAACCCGCCATATTGAATAATAAGCATTTGACCAGCCACAGTAAAACCTTGGATCACCAAAAACAAACGGTCGTGTGTGATGCCGCGCATAATATTCAGACGGTCATCAATACGACGGCAATTCAACTCGTTAAAGACCTGAAGAAAGACAAAGACGTTGAAGACCATGGTACGTAAGATTTTCGTGTCCTCCACCGAGTCGGACAGACCAAACAGAGAGGGACCATGAAACATGAGTAATAAATTGACGGCGATTTGGAAAATCGCTTGTCCCATAATCATGCGGCCCATACGCCAGTTGATCAGACTAGCATCCTTGCGAAGGGGTTTGCGATTGACCAATTCATCTGTTAAAGGTTCAGTAGCAAGAGCCAATGCAGCAAAGGTATCCATAATCATGTTGACCCAAAGCAATTGGACGGCACTCAAAATACTCTCGGATGTGTCGGATAGTACGGCACTGACAAAAGAAAGCACCACGGCAGCAATGTTGACGGTTAATTGAAAGACCAAGAATTTGCGGACACCATCGTTGACGGCTCTTCCCCATTTCAATGATTGCAGGATGGAATTGAAGTTATCGTCCATCAAGATGATATCAGAGGCTTCTTTAGCTACTTCCGTACCAGTGATGCCCATGGCAAAACCTACATTAGCTAACTTGAGTGCAGGGCCATCGTTTGTACCGTCACCTGTCATGGCGACAACTTCATTCAGCTCCTGAAGTCGAGTTACAACAAGGGTTTTATCAATGGGCGAAGAACGCGCCAGTACCTGAAGGCGAGGAATCACATCGTGTTGCTCCTTAGCACTTAGCGCCCTAAAGTCTGGGCCTGTCATAGCGACACCGCCTGAAGTCAAGATGCCACATTCTCTGGCAATCGATTTAGCGGTTTGAAGATTATCTCCCGTAATCTAATTTATAAAACTAGTAAATACACTTTGGTTCTATTTTTTTTTGTTTTTTGTTTGTTTTTTTTTAAATGTTTGTTTACTTTACCATGCGAACAAACACGCCTGCACGTCGGAATTCCTGAACAGATTCAACGACACCTTGGCGAAGCTTATCTTGAACGCCAATAATACCAATCAGAACAAGCTGCTTAAGAGGTGGGTCATCTGAATGAAAAGCTAATTGTTGACATATAAAAGATTAATACACACACTATGAAACATATTGACTGTATTTACCGTTAAATGTTTCGGTATCAACATCACGATAGGCCAGGGCTAGAGCGCGTAAGGAACGACCAGCGTAAGAATTAACCAGCATTTCTTGATCTACGCGAATATAACTGTTAAGAGGTTTGACTTGGCCATCACTATCTAAATAATGAGAACACGCTTGAATGACCATTTCGGGAGCCCCTTTTGTATATATACGGTATTTGGAGCGGTCAGGAGAAGCCGCATTGCTATCATTGGTTTTGATGACTGTAGTCATACTCTTGACAGTAGAATTAAAGGGATAGACATAAGCGCATTGTGTCGATTTACGGTTGTCATTGTAGGAGTAACCCAGTTTTGTTACAAACTCAAGCATGGCACATTCTGTAGTAGAACCAATGAATCGGACATTGCCATCCGTGTCTCTTCCTTCAAACGCAGTCGAGTTCACAGACATGTTTTCTGCTGCTAAATCCGTAGCAAATGATTTGCTGGTCCGTGTTTGGAGGTCATCGAAGGAATTCAATTGCTTGTTGGCAATACTTGCACAAACCACAGACATTTTATTTTCGGTTAAGGTACCTGTTTTGTCGGAACATACGGTAGTAGCATTACCCATTGTTTCACTATGTAAATGCTTTTTTTTTTAGTTACAGACAAATATGCGTTGTTTTAGGGTTACAATACCATGCAGAGAGATGTCTGACAAGATTGTTGTCTTTTAACATTTCAGTAGTGGCAAATGCAAGTGCAAGTGTAACAGCCATTGGAAGACCTTCAGGCACCTATGAACATGTGCAAATCAAAGAAAGACGTCAGATTTATATAGTACAAGAATTATACAACACGTTTCTACTTACGGCAACAACAATAACAGTGATTGCTTGGATAACGATACTGATCAATTGAGAAGTCAATTCATTTGTTGGCAGCCACCTTTGATCAATAAAACTTATCACACCCATCTTTAAGATCAAGACACTAGCTAGAAGCGTGAGTACTTTTCTCTTTTTTTTTAAAAAAAAACAAAGTTTATCATTTGACTTACAACAACATTATACCGGCAGCAATAAAGCCAAACTTGGCAATTTGGTCAGCCAGCACGTTTAATTTAAGTTGTAATGGAGTAGTTTCTTCTTTTGAGTCACGCATTAACTAAACAAATCCAGTTTTTTAATACCGTGAGAAAGATTCGATATATGCATAACTTACAGTCATCGCTCTGCCATAATGTGAATTCACACCAACCGCCACCACAATCACCTTTGCAAAACCTTGAACCACTTTGGATCCACTAATAATAACACAATCTCCTTTTGAATCAATGTCCTTCTTCATTGTTTTGGATTCGCCAGTCGCAGCGGATTCGTCGCAACGTAGATTGTGGCTATTACATGTGAGTGTGAGGTAAACAAACAAACAAAAAAGAGGACTAGCCACAGTATTCAATTACCCTTCAATATACAAACAATCCACATTCAAGATATCTCCAGGTTCAATAAACAAGATATCCCCCACAACTATTTCCTGGATGTGAATTTGTTGAGAAAGTCCGCTACGCAAAACCTATAAACGATTTATTTTTGTTAGACGAGAGTAAAAAAAAACAGGTGTGCATCATGAACAATCTATTTACTTTGACTGGTCTATCCTCTTTTTTGGCATTCAATTTTTGAAATTGCTTCTCCTTTTCATAGTCGTTAATGGCATCTGTTTAAAATCAGCACATGAAGGGTTAGAAATACATATAATAAGCGTGAATGGATCGTGTTTACTTGTGATGACTACGACAGTGACAGCGACAAGGATGGCAACCCCTTCTACCCTATTAAACACAGTCAATTATCATACATGATTTTTAACTGCAGACTCTATTTACCATCCAACTTTTGGCTCGTCTACTGGATGTTTTGGTGAGTGATCATCCCAGATACCAACCATTAAGGAAATAATAGAGGCGATAGTCAACATAACTTTTTAAAAAAAAAGCAATTAGAATTAAATCCAATCCAAGAGAATATAAATTGGCTTGATCCACTTACTGAGGGTTTGATCATAGTAGGCTACCCAAATCAATTGCAGAAAAGTTTTTGTAGGAGCACTTGGAATTTCATTTTTACCAAAGATAGACTTTCGATCTGCAAAGAAATCAGGAGCGTGCTGCAGCTTTTGTGGAACAACGACGCCATAACATGGGTCAAAGGTCTCGTCTGGTAAGAGGCCTGTAGTTGGGTCCACTCTGAGTGATTGGCAAATGCCACTCGTCCCGCCCAACCGCGGTAACAAATTAGGGTGTTCTACAAGCCCTACTAATTGCTTGGCGTTTATTGTGAATGTATCAATGTTGTAACCGAGGAGTGGAGTTCTTGCATCATCATCTTCTTTCACTTGAGGCGGCATATTTTAGAAAAATAAGCTTTTTTTTTTTTATTATTTCTGAGAGAGAAAGAAGAGGAGAGAAAAAGGGGATTTATCAATACAAATATTGTAGATATTTATATTACACAATCAAATATGGCAGATTGTTAAAAATTTCTGACGGCTCGTTTTTTTCTGTGCCCTTTTTTTTTTTTTCCTAAAGAGCAAATATTACCAAAAGTAAAATAGCCAAATTTAAAAGTCACTGCAAAACGAAAATCTATTTCGCCATTTTCGTTTCAGAATGCTTGAAAACCTTTATTTTTTTTTTTAAAAAAAAAAAACCATCATGTCACACAAAACGCTATCTTGCACCTTTTTAAAGTAGAGATCTTTTTTTTTCTGTTCAAGTTTCTGGTGGCTTGCGCTGTGTAAAAAACAGAGCGGGAAGAGATTGTGCGAAAAGCCAGTTTGCAAGAGTTAAATAGGCTCTGTATACAAAAGGGAAACCTCTATTAAAACAACTATTACACAAAGCTAATGTACGGAATGTTCTTTTAGTAAACAAGCTCTTTTTAGTAAGCTTTTACGATCATTGAGGGTACAGAAAACTGGCCGGGGCGTCTCTATCCGAATATCCGGACCAAAAAGAAACAGGGATTAATCATACACTTCGATTCTTCCAAGACACTTTTTTTTTTCACTACATGAAATACTTAAAACTTTGTTTGATTTTCCAGCAAGAACCTAGTTATTTTTAATTTTTCTAATTCATGGTTAATTCGGTGTGCGATGGCCTGGGTACTTTTTTTTTATCAATAGATGTCGATCAATCATATTTGTTTTTGTTATTGTATTGCATTTTTTTTTTTACACGACAGCTAACGTATATCACCGGTATACTAACACCGAAATTAACATCTGTTACATCTTTCACGACAAAAGTCCTGATAGTTGGTTAATGTATATCAATGGTGTTTAATTTTGTCATTTCTATACTTCTAAAAAAGATTTTCCTTCATATATGTTGTGCTATAATAAATCCCGCATGATGTTTGACGCGTAGTGTAACATGCTACAGCGTAAAAAAAAAGTTTACCGAATGGTAATCACTTTCCGCATTAAGTAACTAAAATCTAAAGCACGATAGTTACCATTGTGTCCCTCATGTCGTTTCAAATAACATCTGCTGAGCGTAGTTTAGTTGTATTATCACTAATAGACCGTAAAAGCTGAAACGTACATTGCTTTTACTTTTCAATTTATCAAGTACATTACAAGGCTTCTTTATTCGAGCAATAGGTAGATATTAATAGAATGCTAAATGGAATTTAGCAGACAATACAAGTTTCCACATAGTATAACTTTTTACCACTAGTGACTTTTAAATCCTTCAAAAGCTGCTCAATAGTAGGCTTAAACCCAAAAGAATAGAGCTGGGCGTACTTAAGAATACTACATCCTTTGATAATTGTAAGATCAAAAATACAATTGCTGTGAGTGAGAGTGCTGTCTATTGAACAGCATTTATGTCGGAAGCTTATCCATAAAAATCAAAGTGTTCTTAACGACTTGTGATTTCCTTTTGACACAACAGATACCTTACCACCAGCTGTTTTTTGATTCATCGAACTTATACCCATCTTTATATTTTGATATATTTTATTGTTTTTATACTGATATTTACAATTCCAAATGCTGAGAAATGTAGTAAAAACAATTGCTCCTGCGAAAGGCAATCCGTATCAAAACCTAACTTTTTCTCAATTTTATATTGAGTATTTTCCAAATTCTTACTTCCATTTGTTGCCTCAAGCAATCGGGTCATAGCTTTGAACTTTGTTACTCATTCTTATTTTGCTAAAATCAGTTGATGGAAGCTAGTATAAGTACCAACCCTAAACTTTAGTATGTTCCTCTGCTAAGTTGTACATAATTTACAACTTTCTCAGGATTGCTACTATACAAAATGGTGCTCACTTAAGCTATACAACTGAATAAAATTTATTCTGTAACGTCGAGCTCTTTTTTTGTGCCAGGAAACTTGTTACCAGAAGCTTAACAACAGCATAAATTATATCTGACGCACGTACTTTATACACCGGAGTCAAGTCAGTTAAATGTGCTTTTAGGTCTCCCGTATAATTACTTTTAGTTAGAATCGATTTGCATTCTGTTTTTTTTTCATAAGAATGCTGTTCTCGTTATCTCCCTTTTCATGCTGTTATTATAAACTAAAAGGGTGTCAGAGGAGTAGGTAACAGCCAGTCCATAAAAAAGCAAGACTATGCTAATCTGGTATGAAACCAGAAAATGAATGATCAACAAATTAATCCTATAAGATGAACTGTTTGAATAAGCTTCTATACGTTAGATTTCTTATTGTAGTTAAACGAGTATTTATAGTTGCATATTGTTGGTTTCTGTTTGGAAAAATACTCAGAATGGTGGAAGTAAATCTTATATCGTCGCTGAAGCATTTTGTTTTTTAAAAAAAACCATGTAAGTTACTTGTCCTGTTGCAGGCACTACAAATCGTCGATTGCCCTAATACAAGCTATAGCTTTGAATACTCTAATACCGTAAAACTTTTTTGCGGTCCAAATCCAACTTAGACCGCTAAAATGTTAGACCAGAGGTTCAGGTTTAATTTAGGCCGCTAAAAAGTTAGACCAGAGGTTCAGGTTTAACATAGACCGCTGGAAGTTAGACCAGAGGCCCAGGTTTAATATAGACCGCTGGAAGTTAGACCAGAGGTTCAGGTTTAATATAGACCGCTGAATACTTAGACCAGAGGTTCAGGTTTAATATAGACCGCTGAAAGTTAGACCAGAGGTCCAGGCTTAATATAGACCGCTGGAAAGTTAGAACAGAGGTTTAGGTTTAACATAGACCGCTGGAAGTTAGACCAGAGGTTCAGGTTTAACATAGACCGCTGAAAGTTAGACCAGAGGTCCAGGCTTAATATAGACCGCTGGAAAGTTAGAACAGAGGTTTAGGTTTAACATAGACCGCTGGAAGTTAGACCAGAGGTTCAGGTTTAATATAGACCGCTGGAAGTTAGACCAGAGGTTCAGGTTTAACATAGACCGCTGGAAGTTAGACCAGAGGTCCAGGTTTAATATAGACCGCTGAAAGTTAGACCAGAGGTTCAGGTTTAATATAGACCGCTGGAAGTTAGACCAGAGGTTCAGGTTTAATATAGACCGCTGAATACTTAGACCAGAGGTTCAGGTTTGATTTATACCGCTGGAAAGTTAGACCAGAGGTTCAGGTCTAACATAGACCGCTGGAAGTTAGACCAGAGTTGGAGGTCTAATTTTTAAAATTTTAGACTTTTGGTTTAATTACTTTAAACCTGTAACTGCAATAGTAATACCACCAGGGAAATAACTTTGCGTAATAATTCATGTATGGTAATAGAGAGGGGAGCTTGTAAGTTTAATTTTTTTTTAAAAATATTTCACTTGTCCATAACCCAAAGCGATGTCGAATTTAAAAATGGGAATTTATTGGTCACAAGCTGTCAGCAATGAAAGATGTAACTGAAGCCATTTGTGTGTAATCCTATACATCAGTAAAAATCTGCATAGATTGATTGGCCCACAACATTTGTGTCAAACACGCTTTTGGATTCATACGCGACCTGAAATAATATTTTTTTTATTCTTTTAACACTGATCCTGCAACAAGTTCTATCAGTGTAATTCCGAAAAAAAAACAATATGAAAGACCCAGAAGATGTCGATAGCTCAGGAAATGGAACCTGGGAGAGTCTTGAAAAACCAAAAAAAAAGAGAAAGTATATAAATGCCTATTTGAGGGAAATGTCTAGAACTCCGTATTTTTTAGAATCACGCGATGGTCTTTACACGTCGATTGACATGCCATATCATCTAAACTTCATGGGACAATCGATTTCTGTTTTCCATAAAATCTGCTTCACTGTCATTACAAGCTACTACTGGAGCGCAGATAGACAACTACCAAGTTCTGATTTGCTTGGGAGGTTTTTGCCAATGTTTCTAATTTAAGTAAAGGCCCAAACATTATAAATTATGAAACAAGCATTTAAATCATCCTGACATAAGCTTGTTTATCAGCCTACAAATAAAGCTGGTTCACACAATTTATTCTTCTCCTTTTTCTTTTCCCTTGACATACTTCTTTATCGTATAAAATTAACCGATCACATAAAAAGGTTAGTTTAGTAGTAACTCTTGTTTCTTTGAAAAGAAGCTAAAATGAAAAACAGATATATTGTGATATTGCGGCTGCGGCTAGTCTTTGCTATAGGAGGGATGACCTCCTATAGCAGGGTTCTTGAGTTTTTGGAAACTCAGAGGCTGTGAATGGCTGTGATTGCACTGTAAATAGTTTTATTTATACTGGCCTTTCTGGTCTTGGCTAGACTTGCTGTAAGTGGTATAAAAAAAATACGTTTGAAAAAAATACGGAGGTCTAAACATTTCCTATTTGAGTGGCTATTATGGTGAAAACGACTTTGGAAACATGGAAGGACAACACTCACACTGGAAAGTAAATGACATCGACGTGACAAAAGCCCTTAGTCAGTTTAGACAAGCGTCAGTTGAAGGAGCCCAGCAAAGAAAATTCTTGTCTAACAGTCGGGTGTGTCATTATCCTTTATACTCGTATTCTCCCTTGCAAACAATTGCGTATTATCCAAGTTACCCCCTGATCATCAAAAGGTCATATTACGAAGTTTTAATTCCAAACAGCATTTGAAACCAATTGATTCTGAAGTGATGATTGCATGTCAACAAATGCCTAGTATTTTAATTAATGACTAAATGACTTTGGACGAAGCAGAAGAGGCCATTGATCGAATTAAGGCATCAAGCCAGAATACATGTGTCAAAATTTTAACTAAAATTGTATCAAATCTGTCAATCAAATTCTTTAACAGACACAACAATCAGACACAAGGAGAAGCTACACTTATTATTGAAAATATTCGTCCTTACCTGAATAATTGTATTGTTTCTCGAATTGAATCGGTTAAATTTGAATGGTAACGACCCAAAAAGGGGGTTTTTATTTTAATTCGAATACTAACCAATTATCAAGGCTAACCTACAGATTGTCTCTGCCACCCGATGGCCAGATTATGATTCCGGACTTAGTGCTTTTTATTGAACCTAATTCAGGCACCAATTACGAGTTGTTCTTTGTAGAAGTAAAGAGAAAATGCAATTACCAGAACAACCACTTGGAAGACGACCTAGTTAAACTGGGAAAAGAGATGCATACGGCGTTGAACAAGTTGGTGAAGAAGAAGGTTAGAAATCCTGAAGTTGTTGGATTACTAGTAGAAGGTAATCAATATCAAAATATTGCTTTTAATACATAATAACTAAAGTACTTTGAGCAGATTGTCGCGCAGTTGCCTATAAACTTAAATTAGCAACTCCTCTTGGATAATTTATTAGTCGATATAACTAATTGGTAAACTATTGTTGACTCAAACTCTAGAATGTGCAACAAAATTGTTAATCTCATTATTCTTCATTCACCAGTTATAGCAATCATTGATATGTAGGTAGAAAACGGGTTGATTGATTAAATCTATTGTTTAGGAATTATTGACCATGTTGTGTATATTTTTTTACTGTCAGTTTATTTGAACAGTATTGGTTGATAAAGTATGATTTAGCTCCGTCATTGTATTGATGACTATCTGGAAAGTTGATGGCAAAATACTTACTAATAATTCATTTAAAGAATTAAAAATGTCCAAGTGTTTCAGTCAATACAATTGTGGTAAAGACATGAAAATATTTCAAAATGTTTAATTGGAGTTAAATAACACAATGATAATAATAAGATTTAGTACTTCTACAAAACCATTTCCTGATACTGTTTATTTTCAGTAACAAGAAAATAGAAACTTGCATAAAGAAAGTTTATTAAAATAGGGTTTCTTTTCCAGAGGATAGAAGCTTTATTTTCATGGGGCAAATTGTCAACAGACACAAACTATTACACTTAAACCTGTTAGTAAATAAAATAAAAGATTTTTTTATTGCACTTATCTAATAAAAAAAGGAGAGAGACCAACACATTCTCAAACCAAGCAAGACTTGGCTTGTCATCAGGTCTACAAAGCATGAGTACAAGATGCGGGACGTGGTCAGACCATACATGTACAAGACCTGTAAACTCCACAAAGATGCGGGACGTAGGCTGACCATACAACTAATGTTGATGATTAGAATGTGAAAAACCTCTGTAGATTTCACAATCCCCATAAATCATTTTTTTTTACATTCCGCACTTTGTGGTGACGCAAAAAAACGCGAGTCGCCATCCGCAAAATGAAAAACTGCCATCCGCGAAAAATTTCGATCCGCAAAAACAATTTTTATCCGCAAAATGTTTTCTCCAACCCGCAAACTTCAAGTAACAAACGAATATGCACAATCTTCTAAACGTATCAAATTGGCAAACGGAAATACTGAAGAAATGGAGGAGGAGCAACCTGTTACAGAAACTGAAGATCAAAACATGGTAGTTGACGACGATGGGTAAAAAAAAAAGTTACACATGATTTGACATATAGACTGGGCATTGACCTTGTCTGGTGTTTGTTCGAATAGTTTTGTTGAAGGGTCTATTGTAAAGATTACATTGACCAACTTTGTCACTTATGACTACTGTGAAATCCTTCCTGGACCACAAATGAACATGATTATTGGGCCTAACGGTACCGGTAAATCTACCATCGTTTGTGCCATTGCCTTAGGATTAGGTGGTACCCCGGCATTGTTGGGAAGAGCAAAGAGTATTTCAGAATTTGTTAAAACTGGAGAGGACGAGGCGACTATTAGTATCGAACTGAAGAAAGTGGGCACCAGAAACGTCATTATTCAACGTACTTTTAAAAAGGCGGATGGTAACATCAATACCTGGAGAATCAACGGCAAATCAACCAGTCAGAGAGAGGTTCTGTCTATAGTTCGAAATTTGAATATTCAAGTAGACAATCTTTGGTAAAAATAAGGATTAGGTATTTTGCCAGGCTATTTTATTGATTATTTATTATAGCCAATTCTTGCCTCAGGATCGTGTCTCCGAATTTGCAGAGGTAATAAGCAGAAGGAGAGAAAAAAAAGGAACGTTTAAAGACTGACATAATACACAGTTATCTCCCGCTCAACTTTTAGAAAGAACCCAAGCAGCAGCAGGAGAAACCGAGTTGCATGAGATGCAAAAGAAGTTAATGGAGTGGAGAGAAAAAGAGAAGACACACGAGAAGGTAAAAAAAACTGATAAAACCAGTGCCAATATAGTCAAAGCTAAAAATGTCTTTGACTTAGGCTCAAAAATCCGATATCGATCATCTCAAAACATTACAAACTCGTAACGCAGAATTAGAAAAGGACGTAATGAGAATGCAGCAAAGAGAAGAAATTCTTAAAAGAGTAGCATTATTGGAAGCGCAGATCCCATTGATTAAATACTCGGATGCTAAAGCAATGGCAGATAAAATCAAGGAAGAAGTATTGCATACTAAGACAATTGTTGAGCATGCAAGGGCCGAAGCCGCTCCTATCCAGGAATTGAAAGAGTAAACATTATCTGTGCATACTAATTATTTTAAAAGGCTAACATATGTACTAGGCAATGCAACGACGAACAAAAGAAAATCACAAAAAAATATACAGACGAGGGACTCAAGTTCAAAGAAATCACACAACGTATAAAAACGATTGCCAATGAGATTCAAAAGGCGGTGAGTTCGAGCTTTTTTTTTTGTTCAATAAGAAAGACCTCGTTTCTGACTTTATGTTTAGAGAGAGAACATCAAGCTTGTAAAATCGGAGATAGCGAGTGCCCAAAGAAAAATTTCTGAAAGTCAACGCAACATTGATGCTGCAAAGGGAAAAATCAATCACTTTGAAGAGGCTTTAAAGACAAAACCGACAACCGATTTTTCGCAGTTCGAGGAAGCCATCGTAAGAAAAATTAATGTTTTAATCACCCCACGCAGGATTTCTAAAAGAAAAAAAAATATGATATAGGCCGAAGTGAATGAGCAATCCAGCGAACTTCACAGCCAAAGCGCAGTGATAAATCAAAAATTGCGAGATATAAACTCTAAAAAGCATGCATTAGAACAATCGATCAGGGAAAAAAAGAGGGAGTAAGTTTATCGCTTTTTAATACATGATACGATATATTAACGAATGTTATGAAGGCTTCAGGAAATGGACAATGCCAGACACGTTCGTCTAAGCAAAATTCGAGGCCGATACCCTCATGTATTCGAGGCACATAAATACTGTAAAGAAAACCCTGATAAGTTCATCGGTAGAATTCATGGCCCTGTAGTACTTTCAATCAATGTGAAAGATGCTCGTTATGCATCTATGGTTGAACAAGTTTTGGGTGGTTCCGCAAGTAGTCATCTTCGATATTTTATTGTTGAAAACGAGCAAGATTATCGAACATTTTCACGTATCCTTGTTGATGAAAAAAAGTTGAAAGTTAACGTTGCCTGGCCAAGTGTTGGTAATGAAGTCTTGAGGACACCCACCTCCGCGGCTGAGTTGAAGAGCAGATATGGAATGGATTATTACGCAAGTGATATACTAGAGGGTGATCCACATGTTATGCGTTACCTTGCTCAGGAAGCACGCATCAGCAAGATCCCACTCGCACTTAGCCATTCAAGCGAAGAAAATATTTCAAATTCCGGAATATTTCAAAAGTTTTGTGTTGGACAAACATACTATAACGTCAAAACAGCAGAGTACGGTAAAAGAAATAAGCAGACATCCACCACACCTATTCGAACTGCTGAGTATCTCGGTGAAGCAGGTAACTCATATTCTTTTTTTATATTCTTGATGAATATTAACTCATTGATTCTGCCTTCCCCCCCCTTTTTTTTTAGTTGATAATGAAGCTAAAAATCAGTTAATGGAAGAATATCGTACGATGGAAGGCAATCTTCAACAAGCCGATGTCATGATCAAGGAATACAATTTAGAGCATGACCAAATCAAGCAGAAAGTCCAAGAATATAAACATCAAAAAGAAGATTTAATTTCACAAAAGAGAGATGTCCAACTCGCTGCACAGGCCTACAACATGAAGCTTGGCAAATTGGAAGAGTTGAAAAAACAACTGGAGCTTCTTAAACAAAGACCTGCTGTTCTTCAAGAAAGAATTCATAAATTGAAAGAAGATGTTGTGACCCAAAAGTCGGCGGAGGAGCGTTTTGTAAAAAAATATGCCCAAACTCTGCAAAAATATGTGGATTGCTATGAGATGCGCAATATTTATAAGTTACAAGAAATTCATGCCAATGAAAAGTTTAAAGCCATTCGTAACTACGCTACCGAACAAGATAAAGTATTGCATGACGCGGAAAATAATTTAGCAGCAGCCAAACGAAGTTACCAGTCTGCCCAAAGACAAGCACAGGTCTACAAAAAAGAATGTGAAGAGGCTGGCAACAACCTTGCGGAGGAGCTTCATACTCTGTTCCAAGAAATCTTGAGAAAATGGAAGGAAGAGGGCACTGAGGAATCTTTGGAAACGCTCGAAGAAAAGATCGCGGAAGAAAAAGGAAGAGCAGAGGGTATTCGTTTTGCCAACCCTGATGCAATGTTGCATTACGAAGAAAGAAAGGTTGAAATCGATCGTTTACAACAAAAGATTGACTCTCTCGATGGAGATATAGAAGAATGCAAAAGACAGATTGCTACAGTGAAAGTAAGTGATACCCGTAACACAATCGTGATACAAGATATTAACCATTTATTTTTAGGCTCTTTGGGAACCTCGCATTGATGCCCTTGTTCAACGAATCAGTGTCAAATTTTCTGAAGCTTTCGAACGTATTCGATGCTCTGGAGAAGTTGCTGTAGACAAACACGAAGATTTCGATAAATGGGGTATTAACATTTGGGTTAAGTTCAGAGATACTGAAAAATTGCAACTCTTAACCGGCCAACGTCAATCTGGTGGTGAAAGATCTGTCTCAACCGTGCTTTATTTGATGGCACTTCAAAACCTTGCAAAGTCGCCTTTCAGAGTTGTGGATGAGATCAATCAAGGTATGGATCCCAGAAACGAACGTATGATCCACGAACAAATCGTAAAGGGTGCAAGTGCACCTGGTACATCACAGTAAGTACTCGAAGGACCCAACATTTTTTTTTAAAGAAAAAAAGAATCTTAACCGTTTCTTTAAAAATTAGATACTTTCTTATTACACCTAAACTTTTACCAAACTTGTTTTATAATGAGCGCATGCGTGTATTATGTATTTATAACAGTGAATGGTTACCGGCAAAAATCAAGCCTCTCTCCTCTTATTTGGAACATGCACATGCGAATGGAATTAGTTAAATCATATTTTTATAAAAAAACAAAATAAAAAAAAAACAATAAAAATAGCTAGGCACTAATATACGAATAAAAAGGGTAATATTAAATAAACAAAGGGCCATATTGTTGCTTTATCAGATCTAATCATATACTTCTGCTAATTCTACGGAAAATCATTATCAGATCGAAGTCTGTGCATATTTTTAAATGTTGAAAGGGTTTACTGAACTTTAACTTGATAGCTTTTACTCATCATTGCATAATTCTCTTTAACAATCACACTTTTTTCCATAAACGTTTTTCGCGTTTTACCGATTTCTTCATTAGGTTACATGCCACAAACCCAGTTCTTAGTTTTCCATCGCCTAAGAAAGGAAAAAATCCACGGTCCATAAAGGCCTAATGGATCTATTGTTCAAAAAAAAAGCATCTACTCAACAGACATATGGGATATGTATGATATTTGGAAGACTTAATTCAATTTTTCATAGCTTTTGCTTTATAACATTAAATGATTGAAAAAAAAAGAGGGAGAGATTATTGCCAAGGACAGACTCGGTTATTAATTTTAAACCCTAAAAAGAATTAAAACTAGATCACACTGGAATATGATGGGAAATCGCCGTCCCATTGGAACATTGAGAATCGTAATTGCTTTAAAAATCAAAGCGCGTCCACTAGTTCACCTATAAGGTTTCAAGCAAGGTCTAAGGACTACGTTATCAGATCTTTTGAACTTTATAGGCCTTTAAAAAAAAAGAAAAAAAAAAGAACCATATAGCTCAAATGATCGTGAGTGCTTCTCCTCGTACCAGCAGATACACCTTTTGTTGTACGTTGTAAAATGTTTTTAACAAATTCGGAGTAGAACTCCCCAGTGCGGAAAAAACAGGATGATGTTTAGAATAGGAATAGGTTGTTAATTTATACTCAGGAATCGAATCAGATAGGCCTGCATCAGATAGCAAGATGACCGTGTAACCGTTCGGAGTAACCTTTAGTACACTCATTGGATCAGATAATCTGTCTTACAAACTTTTTTTAGCCTTTTTTTTTTCTTGTGCAATCAATGTGCTTTTTTTTCTTTTCCCGGTAATAATCTTCATATTTCTCTATAAAGGCATTTAAAGTCCCTTTCTTCCACCCTTTTACTTTTAACAAAATTCGTTATATCCACACAATGGATAGCAAAGCGTCTGAAAAGCAACAGGTGGACTCGTCCTATATCTCTGATGAGAAATTGAGCAACGAAAACTCTGAAAAGTATCTTTCTGAGGGTAATGATGGTAAAACCGAAGAGGTTCAGACCTTTGGCGGTGATACCGCCCTTGCTAATGCTCCCTGGAAATACAAGATCATTGCTTTAGTTACAGCACTTATGTTTCCTTGTAAATATACTTCTATATTTTAATTTTTGTTACAATTTACTAACTACATGTCATTAGTCGGTTCTCATTTCTCTGCTAGTGCTTTATCTGCCATGAAGTCTCGTCTTGTTGTGGTAAAGCAAAAACTAATAAAGCGTAGAGAACACAAAACTGATTAGTCTTAATTTCATGTAGAACATGGCCATTAATAACACACAGTATGGTGTCGTATCCGCGGCTGTGTCAATTATCAATACTATTTTCCCCATTGCTGGTGGTATATTTATTGATATTTTCGGTTCCGTCTGGGGTACACTTGCCATTAATTTCATGATTATTCTCGGTGCCCTTCTTACTGCTATCGCTGCCAAGTATGAGTCGTACGCTCTTTTGGTGGTTGCTCGTGTTATTTTCGGTATCGGTAGTGGTTTGATTGTTACCATGCAAGAATCTTTGCTTTCCAAATGGTTCCGTACAAGACATTTATCCATTGCTATTGGTCTTCAACTTTCAATCAGTCGTCTCTCCACCTTCTTGGGTACCCTTGTTGCTAATGCTGTAGCAGATGCTACAGGTGACTGGGTTTGGGCTTTCTGGTTATCATTCATTCTTTGTTGTTTCTCCATCATCATGAATTTGATCTATGCACTTGTTGTTCGTCACTTGCAAGGCCAGGTTGTATTGACTTCAGCTGAAAAGATTGCCTTGAAAAAGAAGAAGACTTTCAAATGGCGTTCTATTTTCAAGTTCCCCCTCATCTTCTGGCACATTATTCTCATCGAATTCATTTATGCTGCTGTTTGGTCTTCTTTCCAAACTATTGCTACTGATTTGATCAAGAAGCATTTCGGTACCGGTGAAAAGTTGGCTGGTTATAAAGCTAGTGCCTCTCAAAGTATTCCCATTGTCGCTACACCTGTCCTCGGTTTCATTATGGACTTTTATGGTTGTCGTGTCGTGATTCTTTTGCTTTCTGCTGTCTTCTTAATTCTCAGTTCTGGTTTCTTGGGTTGGACTTATATCGAGCCCACTGTTGGTATGATCTTTTACTCTATTTCTCTTGCCTTTGGTCCTATCTCTATGATTACTTCCATTGGTATGCTTTTGCCTTCTGAATATATCGGTACCGGTTTAGGTATGTACAAGGCTTCCAACAATATTGGTACTGCTATTCTTGATGTTGCTATTGGTGTTATTCAAGACAAGACCGCCAACCAATCTTATGTGAAGGTGATGTTGGTCTTTATGATTTTGGCCGGCATTGGTTTTGTATTGATTTGTGCACTTTGGTTCAATCAGTTCTACTTTTATGGTAATCTTCTCGAAGTCAGACGTAGTAAGCGTGTTGAGCGTATGGAAGAGATTAACGGTAAAGAACTCGAATATACTTCCAGAGGTTTGGATCCTTACACCGATACACCTATCAAGAAGCTCAGTTATCCTATTGTTGGCTTCTTTGTTGCTGCACTTATTTCTGCATGGGTGTTATTCTTTGTTTACAGTATCCACACAGGATAAATTATCCCATCTCTTTTTTATTTATTTCCCATTTCTATATCATGTTATTTAACTTGCATTACAATTCTAAAATTTACCCACCCCCTTCCATAATACTCAAACACTGGCTTGTTTGAAGAAAAAAAAAACATCTTATAGACAACATGAACACAAACACATTACTTACTATCACCCCAACTCTTTAATCCTAATAAAATTATTTATTCTAAATAACTATATAAAAAAAATCAGTCTATTTTTATTTTATTTTATTTTTGATGCAAGCGGACGAAATAATGCTTTTGGGTTAAGGTTGTTGTGACACAGTGAAAAAAAAAATTAATCTAATTGGAATGTAAACGGAGGTAAAGTCCATGTTGAAGTTGAGGGTAAAGAAATGGTTGTATCATTTTGTTCTGGTATCATTAATAATCTTTTTGATGAGTAAGAAGAAAGTAAAGTGGTAGCCACTGGCATTCTGCAGATGGTATAATATTTTTCAACGTCTATGAAAAATCTGAGTTCATCCGAATTAATTGCATCTAGAATACGGTCTGCTTCGTCCAGATCATATGTGACTCCCAGGCTTAATTCTTGTAAACGAGGGAGTCTTGTCAAAAGTTGATGTATGGAATGCGCAGACAGTAGATCTAAACCACTCACATTGAGTGTTTCAAGAATAATAGGCACAAGGTCATCATCGACGACACCATCAAGAAGAGGAAAGAACGCCTGATCGGTCAGAAGTCGACAGCCAGAAACATCCACGTGTTTAAGATAGTGACAGTTACTAATAAACAACTGTAAAAAAAAAAATGTTAGTCGAGGGTATTTAAAATTTATTTATATAATCACCTGTATAGCCTCATTTGTCACACCAGCTTGATAAGCCAATAATAATGTATGTAAAGAAGTGCATTTGGTTGCTAGGAAGGATATACCTTCACTTTTGACTCTGTTACATTCGCTCATATCGAAATGCACAAGAGATAAACCGCTTTTTGAATTGGATATGGAGCGTAAATGTTTCGAAGATAAATTATCAATGTCACGAAATCGAAGGTGAGTCAGTTGTACCTGATTCATTGTTGAAAAGAAACGATTCAATGCAGTGTTTGAAAGAGAAGAATCACTGCAATGTTCCAGCCCAAGATCAGTTAGCTTTGTACACTTTTGTATGGCGTCTAAAATGATAGAGTGCATCTGGACTTCAATATGCCAAAAAAAAAATTTTAAGCAGAGAGAAACGTTAAAACTGGACCACCACACTTTCCTCATAATTAAAGTCCAATATTTTTGGACATATATTATTTTAATCATGATTAAAATGAGAATATGAAGTTTTTATTCTAAAAAAAAAAGTGTGTCCGGGATTTTTACAACTGGATTTTAGGTGTGGGGGGAAAAAATTGTCACAAGCAGGTTCAAAATTTTAAATTTTTCTTTTCCGACCAATAGTATTGTCCCGCGTATAGTATTTGCCGCCTTCGGACCATGAAATGCTTACTGCCTGTACTCTCAATTTGAGTACCCGCATGCGTAGTATCGCAGCCTATTAAATCAAAGTCTGAGGACATTTACTGTCAACCCTGTAAGACACAAAAAGGATAAAACAAACTTTATGTACTAAGTAGAAACGCTTCATATTTAAAAGATATAATTTAGAGTATTTCGAAAATAGATCCAACTAGTTGTTTATTTTAATTTATGTATTTGAAGGGTCGTATTCGTTAGATAAAGTACACAGTGCCACAACCCGTTATATCAGAGTCTGAGATCAAATATGATCAACACTGTAAGGCACAAAAAGGATAAAACAAACTTTATGTACTAAGTAAAAACACTTCATATTCAAAAGATATAATTTAGAGTACTTGGAAAATAGATCCAACTAGCTGTTTAATTTAATTTATGTATTTGAAAGGTCATATTCATTAGATAAAGTACTCAGTGCCACAACCCGTTATATCAGAGTCTGAGATCAAATATGATCAATACTGTAAGGCACCAAAAGGATAAAACAAACTTTATGTACTAAGTAGAAACACTTCATATTCAAAAGATATAATTTAGAGTATTTGGAAAATAGATCCAACTAGCTGTTTAATTTAATTTATGTATTTGAAGGGTCGTATTTGTTAGATAAAGTGCACAGTGCCACAACCCGTTATATCAGAGTCTGAGATCAAATATGATCAACACTGTAAGGCACCAAAAGGATAAAACAAACTTTATGTACTAAGTAAAAACACTTCATATTCAAAAGATATAAATTAGAGTATTTGGAAAATAGATCCAACTAGCTGTTTAATTTAATTTATGTATTTGAAAGGTCATATTCATTAGATAAAGTACTCAGTGCCATAACCTGCTAATTTTAAACTGAGATCAAATATGGTGAAGTGTAAAACACAAAAAAGATGTTTGAAATCGGATATACATTAAGTAAGAACGTCTACTACATGGAAACTTTGTTTACTTCAGTAATATTAGATGTAACGTTCTTTAAAACTAAAAACGCGTCAAAAGGGTTACTGTTTTTGAGCGTATTACTTCACGGGAGCTTTAAAAATGACAAATAGAATTGTGAATTTAAAACTAAGTTTGGGTTTATTTTTGTACCTTGTAATTATTCTTTTAAAATTACTTTTATAAATTTACATATCTATATCAATATTCATTATGGCTAAATCAAGAAAAAGAATCAACATTGGAAGAAAGGCTAAATTCATTCAAATGGAAAAAATTGCTGCTGCTGAGTACATTGCTAATGAAGCAATTGCCAAAGAGGCCGAAATCGCTGACATGCCTCGACCAGAAGAAGTCAACGCAGAAGCTTTCCCCATTTCCTGGAGCAACGCAACCGAAAAAACCGGGGAACAGAAGTTTAAGCGTAAACTTCTCCCTACAAGAGAGACGCTCAGTAGAAAGAGATCTGCTGCAGCCAAGGCAGCTGTAGGCTGTCATTCGATTAATGATTTTTTCCCCGTGGTTCAACAGGTTCCTACACCACCTCAAGTAGAGAAGAAGGAGAAACCCAGAAGACCCGACGAAGCAAGTTTGGTAAAGATTCGCGAGTCTTTGCCCCTTTTGGAATCGAAAATCCGTATCTCTGGTAATACCACCAGCGACCAACACCACAACGGTGTTAAACAATTTCTGAAGTACGTGGTTGTAAAGCATGTAATGTTGCAGCTATTAGACGGTAAAACTTTTGTGGAAGCAACGAAGCTTGCGGTAAACATGCACTGGATCCAAGCTTCGAAATCCTATCGTCATCGTGCTGCCAGAAAGTGGTTTGAAGCCTGGCTAAACACTGGTGACATTCCATGTCATCAGCAAGGAAAACATGCGAAGAGAAAATCAATTCTCAGTGATCCTGATGTGAAGGAAAGATGCATCACCTGGCTCAGGAGTCAAGACCCTGTCCGTAGAAGTATCCCTGCTCTTCGTCAGCATATACGACAAGAAGTGCTCCCTGAGTTACTTGAGTTGGAGAATGATGTCGAGGCCGGTGCCGATGTCATTTCCTCTCAGCCAGAGCATCCATTGTCGAACGTTGCTCTGGCAACCTACCTGAAGGCTTGGGGTTTTGACTATAAAACAGGTAAATACAATATGTAAAAACTTAGCATATATACTAATGCTTTAGCTTGATTATATTTTTGGGCATATGTGTGTAGGAAAGGATCGAACATACTTTGATGGCCATGAGCGGGATGATGTTGTCAGATATCGAATTAAGTGGGCCCAACAAATGATGGAATGGCATAAGCGTATGGAAACCTATCCCTTGGATAATGAGAATGCTGATCCAGTTCAACCTAGCCTAAAGGATAATGAAAAAAAGATGGTTTTAGTTACTCACGACGAATCAATCTTTTATTCAAATGATTGTAAAGTCACTCGTTGGTGTGAGAAGAACGAAACCATGATTCTTCCTAAAGGTCAAGGAAGATCTATTATGATCAGTTCATTCATGTGTCCCTGCCACGGAACAATGAGAGGTACCGTCAATGGTGTCAATTTGATATCAAGAGTCATCTTCTTCCCTGGCAACAGTAACGGCGATGGTTATTGGACAAACAGAGATCTGACGTGTCAATTATATGATGTAATTCATCTTTTCAATGAATTACATCCTAATTGTGTTGGTATCTTTGCCTTTGACCAGAGCTCGAACCATAAAGCCTTTGCGGACGATGCTCTTGTTGCCTCGAGGATGACTTCCGGGACTAGCGAAGTAAAGTCTTCTACCCTGTATAGGTTTCGGGATACCACTTATGTAGATAGAAACGGCATCATCAAGCCTCAAAGTATGTATACCATGGAATCCATGAACGTGGATGCCGCCATGAAGGAGATAAACAGACGGCGTGCCAAAGGACAGGCGTTTGATACCAATGCACTTGTCGAAAAGTACCAACACGCACAAGTAAATTTAATAATATAACATTAATATATAAAGAACTGACATCTTTATTATCATTATCTCTGTAGAAACGTGAGAAGTTCAAGGGAACTCTCCGTCTGTTGAGAGAACGTGGCCTGCTCGGCAGAAATGAGCCTCTGCGAAGGGTTTGTGTGAGAGGTACTCCACACGACCCTCAGGCTAAACCTGGCTGTTGTGCCGAATACTTGTTGTCACAACAACCTGATTTCAAGGCCCAGAAGAATATGCTGGAGACCCAAACATCCAAGGCTGGTCACCTTTTTACCCTATACCCTAAGTACCATTGTGAGTGCAATTGGATTGAAAGACATTGGGGTGCGGCTAAACGATTTGCACGAATAGAATGTGATTACTCGTTTGACACTCTGAAGTCAAGAATCGAAGAGTTTCTTGACCATGATGAGGCTGTTTTCGGTCCTAAAATCAATAGACGATATTATAATCGTGCCTATAGATATATTGACGCTTACAGCAAGGGTAACGATGTCTTGGAAGCTGAAGATATTATCAGTAAGTTTTCCAAAGAATATCGATCCCACAGACGTGCTGTTTAGTTGCTCCTTGATGACTTTCAATCTAAAAAAAAAAAAAAAAAAAAAAAAAAAAAAAAACAATTTAGACTCCCCCCAAATAAAATATATTTCCCTGAAAAATTTTCTTAAAAAAAAAAAAAAAATTCTCCCCACATTAAAAAAATCTGGCTATAAATAAATTTCCTTTTATATTACTTGTACTAGTCGGAGATGAATGCTCAAAAATGTCACAGATTACGTTTTGGTATATTACAATGAAGATGCACTCTATCATTTATATCGGTGAGCCTTAGGCGTTTTAATGTAGCAGAATGTCTATAAATAATATCGGCCATGACCTGGGGATCAATGTTTCCACAGCCATAAAGAGTCAATGATTCTAACCTATTTCCAGGCATTGATAAGAGGGGCCTAATTGCGTCTGTTGATAGACAATAGCATTGGGATAAATTCAATGATCTTAAATAAGGACTAGCTGCGATCATCGGATAGACAATATAATCTTGTGTGGCAGCATTTGAAAATTCAAGTTCCCTCAAGTTCGGAAACAAGAATGAATCGAAAAACAATCTTTCCAAGTGGTGAGCATCTTCTCTTGCTGACCAACGAAATTTCCAGACCAGTTTATTGTATTCATCAGTTGTTTCCAGCGTATTTTTAATCTTACGTAACGTTCGGTGCGATTTCGGGTTTAAAGTGTTCCATAAACGAAAACATGATTCATAATAAAGAGCTCGGCATGTTAAAGCAAGATTTAGCAAGTCCTTGCCGTCAATGAACGTACACAAGATGCGTGTAATCTCTGTGATGAGAAGCGGGTTCTGCTTCATTTTAGTTAATGTGTTACTTTTATGAAAAAGGGGGAGAAGAAAAAGGAGAAGCACAAATACGCCCGGAATAAAATTTTAGTACGCATTTATTGAATAATTTTGTCTCTGTATTCCTCAATATTATCATGAGTTAAAATCACTGTAGAAAGAAAAATAAAATAAAATTAGTCGACATATTCTGGTACTCTATCTCTTTCTTTTTATACCTAAATCACGCTTAGTCAATGGATTTTTTGTTAATGGGCAGATATTCTTCTTGCCTTCCCAATTGGTAAGACAACGCACCCAACTGTCGTAACTGAAAAAAAAAAAGGGTGTTAGTGAAAAAAAGGATGGCCTGAGCATTGTTTACTTACCCCATAACATGACCATAAGTAGAAATAGCAGGCTTAATCACTTCATCTAATGTAATAGGATCCAGGAAACCAGGTAAAGGATTGTCCAGATTCTCATCTTCAGACACTTCTTCGCCTTCATTTGTTTCATCATTTCCTTCATCAATATCCATACGCGAACGGGTTCTACGAGTGGTACGAGAGGGACGCGTACTTTCGGTATAAGTACCTGAAGTATCATTATAATCTTCAAAGTCATCCTCATCATCATCATCGTCACTGTTCCATCCTCTTCTTCTCTTCTTCTTTGTCTTTTTAGGAGCTGGAGGAGCGGGAGCTGCTTTTGGTTTGCGAACCGGAGCTATGCTTGAAGATGAAGCAATGCCCGAAGCACGTCCTGTGCCATGTTTACTGTGAGTACGAAATGCTTTCTCCGTGTTACCATCAGCTGTCTTTTTATCAAACAAATAATGTGCTTTTCCCTTGGCATCTAAAACGTAATTGGGATCTTGAATTTCATTTGTTTCAACCAAGAGACGGTAAAAATTGGAGCATTGGTAGCCAACACGACCAGGGACTTTCATAGCAAAGAGACCCCATTGTCCGTTGGCACCTGTTTCTTCTAAACGCTCAAAGAATATTTTACGTTCATCAGCCGCCCATTGTCCCTTGCGTTGCACTTCACCAGGCGCATTAAAACGATAGTAATAACTGTTTGGATTCACATCAATCATTTGGTAAGCTCGAATACGTGCTTGTGACCATCCTTCAAATGCCTTTTCAGGATCAATGTTGTTTTCTTGGATTTGTTTGATGGCTTCATCTAATCCTAAACGACCACCCATACGATATTGCCTTTAAACATTTTTTTTAAAAAAAAATTGAGTTTAGATTCTTTTCTGATACATGTAAACAGTGTCAGCTTACTTCTTTGCCGAATCTGTTGTTGTCTTTTTTAAGGTTTCAGATCGCTTTTTCAATAATTGTTGGTATGCAAGCTGTTGTTCTGCCGTCATTGTATTGGAGTTTGTATCAACTTCGGGTGTGTATTTAAGAGCGATTTCCTTTCTAATGCCCTGAAGATAATTCCCTTCAGAAAGACGACCGATCACCTCTTCCTTTTTTTTTTATAGTGTTAATGCAAAAAGAAAAATGGCAACATTAGAGACCCATATTCTTACCTCATTATGTTTACAGTCCAACAACATGGCAGCTACCTCATCTTCTGATAAATAATCAAACACACTCTTGATTTTTTTGGATTTACGTATGTGCTCTCTTCTTTCATATTCTTTATATTGACGCTGTTGTAAAGTGACACGGCGTTGAATAATGTTCATTTCAGACTCCGTCACTTCTTCACCGAAAACGTTGCCTTTACGAACAGTTTCGATTTTGTCACTGTAAGAAAGGGCAGCGGGGTGTGGGTCAATGTTACTGATAAAAAAGCCCCCAATGTGGATAATATCACTTACTTTTCAGCAAGATCCAATTTGAAAGAATCATACTCTCCTTCGATATATTCATTAATAACCTGCTTCACCTGCTTCAATTTTGCCTATATGGGTGATATGTGTCAACATAACTATAGGTTAAGGAAATAAGACACAACATAAAAAGACAGAAACCAACTCACGATAGTGTTTTTCATTTGGATATTAACAGGAACATGAACACCTTTTGAACAAGCTTTAGAAGGCTTTACAACGAGTCCATCTAAATTTTTTTGTGTGTTTTGAATGAGTTAATCAGACATTAGAGAAATTTTTTTTTCGTCATTCCATTTGCTTGATGAAAAAGTTTTTTTTTTTTTTTTCAACACTGTTTTTCACTACAGTATTTTTCCCTGTTATCTCACGAGCATTTACCTTCTTTTAAATAAACTGAAGTAAGTTTTTCTACTTCAGGAGTGCTTTGTTTCTTTACAGCCATAGCTTCGATACCAAAAAAAACTGAATAATGAAAATGGCACCTATTTTTGACGCGACAAGGCGCGTTTGGCCGCAAAAAAAAAAAAAAAAAAAAAAAAAGTGACTTGCATTTGAATTAAGTTGCCGATGCCCTTTTGGCATCAACCGTACGACCTGTTTTTAACGATGGATGCAGGGATATGGAAACCTATTTCTAAACGTTAGTACATGGTTTAAACTAATAGAATTTGTCAAGATAAAATACTGTGAACATGCTTATTCTTCAAGTAGTATTATAAGGGACATGCATATATGATACATTGATATTTTTCAATGCCTCCTACAGTTGACTTTGGTCTTACAACATGATAGAACAATTTTATGGTATTTTGCCATCAATGTATTTTCTGCCATCAGACTTCTGAGAAAATTTAATCTACAGTTAACCCATAACATACGCTACTCGCTACTTCACTTTTAAATGATACTCTTGTAATGAACCGGATGCACTTGTACTGATTTACACGCTTTTGTATTATAGCATGGACAGCTGACCCTTCTTTGTGCCTCATCCTTTTACAAAATAGAAACAACATTGTATTTAAAATTACCAAAAGGAAAATGGGTGTGTATTTCAACAGCTTTAGTCCATTAGATTTGATTTCCGTATCATATATAACTATTTTTTTTTGTAGCAATGCCGTAGTTTCCATTGCATATTTTGTGTATTTTTGAGTGTGGCATGACGCCAGCATTACTTGTATTTGTGTTTGGTATTATCCCAACCTAAAGAGCTCGTACGTGTAGCCCTGATTATATCATTATTCTCAATGTGTGTTTTTGTTTCCTGCCAGATACTTGGTGGCATCACATGTTCTGATAGTATTAAGATCAATCGGAAAATAAACTAAAACTAATGATATATTTTATCGGAATTCAGAGTCAACTCCTCTAAACAAACAGAAATTTCCTGAATGTGAAATAGATAATAAACACTTGTACAAGTCTATTTCTTCCTGCTGCTCACAAGAACAATCATACCATATTGAAAGGGTGTTCTACTGCAGACAGCAAAAAAAAAAAAAAAAAAAAAAAAAGTCCCACTGGGTAAAACCGGTAAAACAAAAAAAAAAGTTAAGAGGATCTAAGAGCCCTATATTGGATCATACTAAACTTCTCCTTGTTTAGTTAAAGGGTTGGACATCGTGATACTAATATTCCAATGCACAACAAGATGCTTGATAACAGTAAATGGTTTCGGTTTTTTTCTAAATATATGGTTCTTTATGCTTGTTTCAGAAAAACCTAGACACCTCTTTCACCAACATCAACGCACTCTTTGGGAACAATGGCTTGCCCATTGGTCTTTTTTTTTGTATGCAGTAGAGATAAGAATGATGTTTGTATAAAGGTCACATTTTCATATTCATCATTTTAAGGACACATTGTCCTGATCAAGATGAAGAATAGAGTGTTATCCGATCAAGTCTTGTTATCATTGGAGCCTTTTTCCCCTCCCCCATTATGGCGACATTGTTGCTTAGCGTGGGGCGGAATAACTGTGTCATTGTTTAGCCGTATTGCCAGATGGTGACACAGAAGCATAAAGAACATATTATAACAAAAAAAAAATCTGAATAAAGCGCCCATGAAATACGGAATACATATATAGTCGTCAAAGAGATATTCACAAATGTCAAAAGAGATCTCATTGATTTGTCTCCCTCTCTTTACACTGACTGGCATTATTGCAAAAGCTAAAGCTATCTACCAATTTATAAATCGCCTGATGTTTTGTAGAACTCTTTGTCTGTGTCGCGAACAAACTTCAAGCGCTCGTGGTATCCAAAGTAAGGTTTTAATAACTTTTTTTTTGTTTAACCATAAAAACTAATTTTTTTTTCTTATTGCAGATGAAATAGGTCACCGATGTAAATATTGTTCAAACCAGTTTTGATAGAAAATAATCAGTTTTTTTTATTTTAATTTTTTTAAGAGTTGAGAAAGAAAAAACCCATGGTTACTCTATTATTATTATAGTTTTTTTTTTGTAAAGAATGCATAAAGATAATGTTGGTTTTTGAAATAAAAGGGAAATGCATGGGCGATTTTGTGTACAAAAAAAATAGGTTTTTAAAAAAATAAAAAATAAATGTGAAGAGAAGGGGACTATTTACAAAAGGGAAAGTGTTATTTAAAAGAGAGGATCCAAAGAGAAAAAAGATTGGTCAATGGTTGTGTTGTATAGTTTGGAAAGATCGGGATTGTCCATCATATAGAAAGGATCGTCTGTGGGCATCATAAATTGATCAAAGAAGTCAGCTGTGAATGGATCTTGGATTGGCACTGTGGTAGGACTGGGTGTGCATGCCGTACTGTCAGAAGAATAGGAACTTGTTGAATTCATGCGCAGACTATTGGTGTCTTCTATCGATGTATTATCGACATAGGACATTGGCTCTTGTTGTAAAAGCATACTACAAAATACGGCCGCTGCTGCCTCAGCTTCCTCCTTGTTGGAAGGTTCTTCTTCGGCCAGCGAGAAGCAATCAGCAAAATCAAGTGATTCTGTCGTTCCACTCATATTAGACATAGCAGGTGATCCAATATCAGTGGGATTGGCTTTTTCAAACAAGGCGTTCTGGGCTGATAGGGCATCTGCCGTCAAAGGTACTGTGGATGTGGTAGGAAGTAAGTCCAAAAGTGTTGCTTGTTGGCTGATGATAGTAGATGTTGGAGGAGGGATAGGAGCAATACGACGAGAATTCTTTCTTGGCTGAAGAGAAGGCATAAATTTTGAACGATAGATATCAAGAGCACGTTGAAGCATGTTCTTTTTTCCTGCCAAATGTCTGGGGTTTAACCAAGCCTATCATAAACACATGTCAATAAGGTAAGCTAACACACACGCACACACAAACACAAACTTACCAATTTCCAAGCTAATTCATTACACATGGTTTCCTCTAACCATCTCGCATTATTTACAGGTTGGGCGATATTCATGACGCGAGGATAAGGACAGTTTGCTTTACGGAATTCGATATTGATTTCTTCCAAATCGACTGATTCTACATTAATCTTAATACGGAAGCGTTGGTTGTTAACAGTATCCTCAATAGCAATTGTTTTAGGATGGTGAGCAGATTGAATGGTGACACCAGATATAGTGGTAGACATCTCATCTTGATCATCGCCTTCACGATGCTTACGCTTACGAAGAGTGCCGTTCATCAACTTTTCTTGCCGAGCCACACGACGGGATCGCATGCTGGGATATCTATTGCGGTAAGAGTCAACCGCACGTTGAATCAAGCCTCTTTTACCGGCAATTTCTTCCTTGTTTAACCAAGCTAATTTCCATCCAAGCACATTACATTCAGTTTCATATGCCCATCGGTTGCCATGGTATTCTTCTTTGGGTAAATTGGCTCGAGGATAAACCTAATTTGAGGTGAGTTTAACTTCTTATGAATGTACTTTTTAGGGGGGAAATACTTACACAATTTTCGCTCTTAAATTTATCGTCGATGCTCAAGGTGTCTACCTGTAAAAGATCTGTGCGAATAGAATAACGCTTCAAGGTGCGATTGTGAGAATAAACAAAAGAAACCCACTCAATGCCGTCTCTCATCTCAGTAACAGGTTCATTCGGAGTTGTAGGAGGCTTTGTGGCAGTAGACTTTGGGGATGCATCAGTAGTAGTAGTAGTAGTGGGAGTGGTGGGGTTGGTGGTGTTGGTGGTAGTCATGGTAACAGAAGTGGAAAGGGAAGCAGCAGCGGTGGCATCAGCAGCAGCAGTAGTAGCAGCCGCGGTTTCTGTCATGATGGTATCTTCTTTATCGAGTCTTCTTTTCTTAACTTTACCCAAGGTTTGTTCGATGGCAAAAATTTGATCAGGAGTCAATAATTCTAAAAGCGATTCTGCTCTGGCGGGAGCAGTGATAAGGTCTTGAAGGGACAAGGAAGTGGGTGTAGTGCAAAATTCCATTTTTGGGATTGGGAGAGAGGGGTGAATTATTTAATGAGGGTTAGATAAAGTATGTATATAAAAAATAAAATAGAAAAAAGTTTTTGATTCTTCTAAGTGCGTTTGTTTGGAATTAATTTTAAAAAAAAAGGTGGGGTCGAAATTATTTTTTGGTTATATTAAATTGATTGACCAAAAAATAATAATCATGAACAATCAGGCATTAAATATGTATTAAACTATAAAAATAAAAAGAGATCTAAGCGTGTCTCTTCTTTTATCAATTGATTGAGATGGGCAAAGAAAAAAAAAAGAAACAAAAAGAGAAGATTGAGTTTCAATTCGAGTGATTTTCTGAAGGCATCATTATATACTTTTTTATTTTTTTTTTATTGAGTTTTAATGTGTGTAACAGGACCGAATGGAATTAGACGGAGTCAGCATTTATCTCTTTCATCATTGGACTATCTGAAACATAGAATTGATTTTTTTACCAACAATTCTTGATTTTTTGTAGCGATATATTACACTTATTTTCAATCGTTTTGTTACAGCAGTATGTAGAGCAAAGAAAAGTAGTGTCAAACATTATCATTATATGGATTTCTACAAGCACAAATAGGTGAATTTACCTTGGTGTTCCGATCATTCCGTGAATAGCCGACTTTGCTCAGGAACTTGGGGTACTTGACCTACTATAAATTAGCCCTTGACACAAGTCAGTCTCTTAAGCCTGATATTATTATGAATCACAATAACAAGCACAACTTATGAACACTACACGTGGAATATCTTGACTCTCTTTCAGGTCGACTCATGTGAATCTTACGTATTTCTTGTGCAACGTACTTTATTGTTTGGAAATAAAATTCCGAGTGAACTTTAAAAAAGATTAGCCATGAGCTTCTTTTTCATCCTGTCATTTGCGTGCTTATTTGAGACAGTCTAAAAACTATTCTCAACGCTATTTCCTGGATTTTCGCTTCAGAATTATTCTCCATGATTACTATTTTAGAAATATTAGAGAATCTTGTAAACCCCTTGTGGCTCTATTTTGAGACTCACCTTCTAACCAGTCTCTGATTTCTGTCAATTCTCTTGTATAATCCTGAAACAAAAGTCTTTCTTGGTCCTTGTAACTCACGTTAATAATAGTATCAATTCCTAACAGTAAAGCCTTCTTTACACCAACAGAATCATGGCTTGTATATCTCATCGATGAAACAAATTCAAAGTATTCTTTGACAATTCTTCTTTTATCCGGCAAATTAGCTACATTGCAATGGAATTTTTTTTAGATTAGCCGCTTTTTTTTTCCATCTCTTTTTCTTTTCTTAATTTGGTATTTGCCTACTTGAACTATGTAAAATAATATTCAAAGTCATGATGAATCTTTCTGATAGAACCTTGTCATTCCCAATCCAAAATTTGATACGTCCCTGTGCTCCCTCCCACCAGCCAACCAACAGCGGGAAAAAAAATACGGGCCCGGCTAATCCAGATAAGCGGTTTTTCTTGACCACTTGATTCCTGTTCTTCTCAAGTTGTATTCTTTTTGATAAAAATAAAGTCGTACCTAGTGTCTGTGGTGCCTCGAGTTCTTTTCTAGTCTCTTCCACAATAGTCTAACCTGGGGGTTAGGGCGCCGGTTTAACCCTATTACGTGTAACTTACCTCAGGTGACCAGCCAGCTAATTCCCTTACTGCCAATGATAGTGCGCTCAATATCATTTGTTTCTGGCCCGATGATGTATTACGGTCGTATACTTGATCGATAATAAACCTATATATTTACTTTTTATAAATATTCCCATTATTTTTGTGTTCACTGTCTTACCCAGTTACTGCTTCGGGAACAGCTACCATTAGAGCAACCAAGGCATTTTGTTGTAAGCTTCTAAACTGATCAATTTCAAATGTTTCGGGAAACGAAATCAAATATCTAGCCAACTCTGTTGAATACTCGGCTATTTCTGTACAAGTTAATATATATATTTACATATGTACATAGTAGGTACTTACACAGCTCTGTTCCACTATTCATTTTTTGACGAATTAATTGTTCTGCCGCATTCAATCCAATCTCGAGTTTAAGCGCATCACTTTGATCTTGAAGATACCGAATTAAATCACGTATGAACCTGCATTTTTTTCGGAGGATCTTCAATATTTGTTTGTGTAGGTTTTAAATAAAACTTACGCAGGCTTCTTAGCCTTTGATTTCGATGCTTCTTGTTTTTTGAGACCTTCATCGTCCGATTCTTCCTCCATCTGATACGCCTGGAACTCATCATCGCTATCGTCGTCTGTAGGAGAAAAACGGTCAGGAAACAAATCGTATATTCACATGTTAAAGTACCTTCGTCGTCATCGGGACAATAAGTCGAATCGGGATCAAAGCCTTCATCTTCATCTACCTCTTCTTCAGTTTCTTGATGAGGAATGTCGATCTCTGGAGAGGGACCTTCATCTTCTGAATTGCCCGTATTAATTATTTACAAATACGTATACAGCCCCCAACTTCTTATATACCTTTAAATGCATCTGTAACATAAACAAGATCCCTTATTCTTTTTAATTCTTCGCTAGAATCTAAAAGACCAGTTTTCACGGGATTGTGCTTATCAATTTTAGACGTGATACCCTCGGCTACGATAGCACCCAATTGAGCAGTTGGTATATCCCCACTATTGAAATAAGTGTTGACACTAGGCAATATTTCTGCCATGATTTTACTGTCAAGAACAGCATTCGGTAGATAAGCAATGCAACATAATATAGCCATTGTAACATCTAAAGTGGATGTAAATAGTATGCTCGTTATGCTCACATCCATACCTTACATGTACGTTCCCTAAAGCTCGTATGCTTTACAAACGTCGGATCAGACCACGTTTCGATTAAGCGATGTGTATACTTCAAAATCAAGGCATCTGATTCAGGCGACAGTTTCGAATCCTTAACACCTTTTGTATGAATAGCTGTACAAATGGCAAGTCTAGCTAGCTGATCGTCGGCCCAACTTGCTTTTGTCAATCGTAATAATGCTGTATTTAAGAAATCATCCACACAGAGTGACTTCGATGCTTCGAGATCCTTAAACAATATCAAGGCGAGCTCCTTCGATGCACTATTCATACTTTGTTTTGTAAGTATTTCTACCTTGACATGCTGTAAAATTGGTCCTGTTAGTTGATCGAGCGAAAGCTCCAAAACCGATGACCAATAGTTAGGCGATTGCCTTGCAATGGGATAAATGGATTTGATTAAAATATCTTGTTTGAAGAATGAATTAAAACGTCCTCAAGAGTTTAGTTGTATTTGACTGATAACAATACCTCCATACCCTTGTCTTGTTACTTTTGATACAAATTCTTTGGCAAATAACACAGATTTTGAATCAAGATTTTCTGCTAGCCTTTCGCTGCAGCTTGCATAAAAATTTCTAAATAAAGACATGATGTCAAAAATCATGTTTTTTTTAAAAAAAAACAAAAAGAGCTCCCAAACTATATACCTATCAATATACCATTCGTGTTGGTCACCGAAAGAAACTTCATTGAGCTGAATACGAAAGACGTTAGCTAAATGTCCTGGAATTGAACATAGTAAAGTGCAAAGGAATGTGGCATCAATTTTCGAAGCATGGCGACAATATAATTTAAAAACTGAGCGATCCAAAGATAAATATTTCAAGCAAGAGGCATACATTTCCATCGTGTCAAGTGAGACCTGATCCTGTGTCGATAGACATTCAATGAGAATGGGTAAGCTCACCTTGGCCATGGCAAAGGCGACGCTCGAATCAGGACCCCAGGCTATGGTTGCCTCTAGTAGAGAACGGTGTGTAGAACTAGATAACGTAAAGGCCCAACGAGGTAGTATTTCTTTAAATATGTTCCATACATGACGCTTCCATACTATATGATTGACAAGAGACAGTTGTTCGGCTTTGGTAACTGTAGAATCGTTATTGTAATTAAGCCATTGCAAAGGTTCGGATATCGATTGAAGAACAATGTCTAATTGCGCATTCTCTGATTGAGCTTCTTGGTCAAGTTCAGACAGCTTTTCCTGAAGGTTTTTCATATTAGGGACAAAAAGAAGTGCATAGAAATACAACTGGTAAAAACAAGGTCACGTCAGATAAACATGATTTGGGACTCCACAGTTAAACAACTACATCTGGATCTGTAGTTTTCACTTTGAATAAAGAAGAGTTCATAGGCAATTATGGTAGTCTCAATAATGCGTATCTTTGAAGCATAATATTATAAAATCGTTGTTTTCTTATCTGAGTACATGAAATATGCTTTGTCATTCATCTTAAAGTCATGGGATAATATGGTTGGCTAGATCGATGTTGTCTGCTTTTCCTTTCGGTCTGTGATACATTTATCAGGGAACGGGTGAGGTACCGTGGTCTTTTCAAGCCTGCTAAATTTACACGAGAGAAATCCAATGTGCATTACTGTGGGAGATTTTTTTTTGGAGGCAGAAGACTTCAACTTTATAAGAAAAAATAAACATTAGGCTTTGCAATCTTACAAAAGGGCTTCATTTTGGATCTTTAACGTGTTTTCAGGCTTGTCTCATTTCCCAAATAGTTGTTCATTGTCCTTTAATGTCAAACTTTGAATGGCTCTTTACTCTCTTATTGACAATGGTTACTAAACTACACAAACTGCACAAAATAAGCACAGGGCACTTTTCTCTTAAAATGTTCCTGTGCCCCGGTGACAATTGTACGATGTGTCTGTGTTACAATAAGCGAGTGTCATCAAGATTTTATTTTGGTATAAAATATTAATGTTGAGCTGGGATTTTCATTATCTTTTTCTTTTTTCTACATTAACCTTTTTTTTTTTTTTTTTTTTTCTGAATGATAACTATTTTATCTTCCAAAGTTAAATTGCTTCATTTTCCAAGGACACATCTATCTCATGTCACTCATGCGATAGTAAAATCATGCTTTTTTCAAGACACAAAAGAGTAAAAAATAAAAAAAAAAGATTGATTGCAAAGGTTCCTGATTTATCATTGTTCTAGCCCTCGTTATTTCTTTTCTTTTACGGAGAATGCCTATGAAATATCAATTGTTGCCAGTAAAGAAGTAATCGATAATGACTTTATACCCACTTTGATCATGTCTCAGTGTACTGATATGAGGTCATCCAATGATATATATCGTGTCTTACAAGTGGATGATGAAGGCGGGCAAGGTGAATAAGGGTCAAATCAGAATATTACATTGATGCATTAACACATAATTAGGTTCTAGTGGTAAACGTATCTCAGACCTTTCTGGCCCACTGGCTGCAGGGAAGTTCTCAATTTTTTACATGTCAACCTATCAGACTGACTTTGTATTGGTAAAAAAGGAATAAATCAATCTCAACTGTATGTTACTAACCTTTTACAAGATCAAAGAAAGACGATTAAGACAAGCAGTTCAATTACTACAGCAACATGACTTTGCATTCGACCAAGATTCTGTGGATCAGTACTTGGGCGGCTCACCACCACTATCACCAGAGCATATGTTGCGTACAATTGAAAGCCAAACTTTAAATACAGTAGAAGAAGGCTTTGAAAGGTCGGTCTTACATGACGAATTACAGTGTGTGGGGTTGAATCCCCATTACCGTTCGGAATGGGCAATGACCGTTCTCAAGATCTTGTCTTACCCAGAGTTGATTTCTACCACTGATTTCAAGTAAAGTTTCATAGAATCAGAATTATCACATGTGACTCATAATTATTTTATCGTAGACAGGATGACACCAGATTCTTTTCATATACAGCATCAAGTGACGGTATCTCTCTTTTAGCAAATCAACGGATTTTGGATTTGTTTGAGCCAGATGCTATCTTTCAAGATGAAGGATCGCAAACTTATCGCGTAATTCAGGTCAATTTAGCTGGTTCTAATTTAGACCGTTGCGGTATTGTTTACTCTATCTCGCATCCATTGGCTGCAGAAGCTCATATCAATTTGCTTTACTTGAGTACCTTTAAGAGTGCTAATGTGTTGGTTTCTTCTGATGATCTGGGTAGAGCTGAGGAGATCCTTGCTGAAGACTTGGAGAATATCAAAGGCATGTTAGCCGAGATCGTTTTAGAGCCAATTCTTTAATGGTTACACACACGTCCCGCCCCCATCATATCTTATCTATCGCTTGTGCTACATCGCTTATTGAAAATCTTGGTTTTTAAACTTAGTTTGTACTGAACCAGAATGCTGTCCATTTATACCAATCGAAGTACAATAAAAATAAACTTTTTCCACTTTTTTGAAAGTGCTTTAGTGATATTAAAATTACTGTCACCTATTGAATTCATATCGCAGCTATAATGAACTTCATCATTCTCTTATTTAGATATTAATGAATTATTTGAAAAATGTGAAAAATTGAAACTTTTTATTCTAATAAGGTATGGTTTAAAACAAGGTAAACTTTTGTGTTCCTCTAATGTTCCTGCTGCTAGAACCAAAGTGCACGCTGAATTCCCCCTGTGGTACAACCCACTGGTGAGAATCTATACTGTAATAACTTAACTCTGACTTCTTGAATGTAAATGTCACAGTTTGCTCGACGCCTTTAGATAAGTAGACTTTTTCAAATCCGCGTAACAATTGGGGAGGTTCCTGTGCAATTTCAGGAAAAGTAATGTACACCTGAGGAATCTCGGCACCATCAAACATACCAGTGTTCTGAATCGTTACGGAGGCTTGTACTTCGACATCACCTTGAGATTCAAGATTGATTTGGTTTAAAGCAAAATTTTTGTATTCAAAGTTTGTGTAGGATAAGCCATAACCGAATTCGTACAAAGGCTTAATATTGTTTTTATCAAACCATCGGTATCCAATGTTAATTCCCTCAGAGTAAGTAAACTAGGATTAAGAGAGTGAGAAACTATGACATCTAACCAGTTATCTGTATATACTTACGCTCAAGCCATGATCAATCTTTGCAGGGTAGTCTTCATACTTGCTTGCAATTGTATAAGGTAGTCTTCCAGAAGGATTGACATCACCAAAAAGAATATCAGCCAAAGAGTTTCCAGATTCTTGACCAGGTAGACCAGGTAAAACAATAGCCTTTATGTTGGGATGGTTAGACCATGGCATAAGGACAGGCCCTACAGAATGAACAACCACAATAGTATTTTGATTCGCATCAGCAACAGCTTTAATCTATTAAGAATTTTGTTTAATAGGAGGGATAGGGCATAAAGTTTTGAGTATTTAATTACCAACGCATCACCATCGTGCCAAAGTTCTAAATTATTACGATCACCCACATGTCCTTCAACTGTGATAAACTCCTCCCCAGAATCAGAGTTGACGAATACAATAGCAACATTAGCTTGTGATGCTAATTCCGCAGCAATGTGAAAATCATTATCCCTTAGATGCTCGGTTATATCCATAGCATTTCCTGCTCTATTTCTGATACCATCGATAGGCTTTATTATAAGTTAGCAACGATGAGTTACACAGATTTACACAAGGTAACTTACGGTGATTAAATAAGGGTATCTGGCAGTACCAGACCCCCAGCCTTGAGCTAAAGAACCGGCGTTACAGCCATGATCTTCGCAATTGAGACCACTATTAAATGATTAAAGATGTCAGATGGTTTTGATTCTTGCTTTATGTGCGTACAACTTACTGTGGATTAGGTCCTGCATCGGATCCAATAACTGCTAACTTCTTAATTCCGCTAGTACGTAAAGGAAGGATATTGTCCTCATTTTTTAGCAAGACTGTTGAGGCAGCACCCATTTGTCGAATTAGATCCTTGTGGTCACCTTGGACATTAATATGTTGATCTAGATTGGGTCTAAAGCTATCGATATTTACAGCAGGAAAGCTCTAAAATACGAGAAGCATCAGCGAAAATGTTTATTTTGATAGCAAATGGTTTTTTATAGTAATTTACCTGATCTTGGCCGAGCTATTTTTGTAAACGATTTTTTTTTATTAGCACATTTTGATTTTTTACAATAGTTTTAGACAGTTACCTTGTACCAAGCAGCAACAATTCTCATTGCCATGTCTGTAACCCGATCCTCATTTACTTGGCCCGAACGAACAGCATTTGTTAAATTTCTACCAAAATAAGAATCACCAGAGTTAAATGAAATGTCACCTATAAAAAAACAAAAAATTAATCTCCTAAAAGTTTCAAAAAAAAAAGAAGGGGAGAGGGGGGTTGGGGAAATAGAGAGGAGGATTATTTAATTACCTGGCATAGTCATATCTAAACCATGATTTGCACTATCAACAGTTGAGTGCGTTGCAGACCAGTCACTTTGAACAAAGCCTTTAAAGCCCAATTGATCTTTGAGAAGTTTGTTTATAGCATAATCACTCTCGCAAGCATAAACGCCATTGATTTTGTTGTAAGCACACATTACAGATGCGACGCCTGCGTCTACAGCTTGTTTAAACGGCCATAAGTATACCTCTTGAACGGTTCTTTCATCGATATTTGCAGAGTGCTAAAAGAGAAAAAAAGTTAATGCGAGAACATAAAGACAGCTATCATTTTCTATTTTACCACTAGTCTGTTTGTTTCTTGCTCGTTACCAATAAGATGCTTTGCTACGGCCATCTACAATTTGTTTTTTTAAAAAATTAATGATGTATAAATGTATTTGGTTGGTCTGATTACTTACCACACCCTGACTTTGGATACCAATGATTGTTTCTGCAGATGCTACACCGACAAGAAAAGGGTCTTCACCAAATGCTTCCCAGTTTCTTCCTCCTTCTGGAGCCCTAAGCATATTCATGGAGGGGCCCAATTGAACATGAGCACCTTTTGCACGGAACTCTTGACCCATATACTCTCCTCTTTTACGGATTGCTTCACGATCGAAAGAAGCAGCTGCATTGATACCCGCCACACCCGAACTTACGCCATCCGTAAAGCGCATACCTAATGGAGAATCTTGAAGGCACAATTCAGGAAAGTCGGGCCCTGTTGTACGTCCACTATTACCAACACAAGGACCTGATTGCCAACCTACACCTGTAGTGATATTGACCTTTTGTTCCAAAGTCATTTGTCCGACTAAACTGCTTGCTTTAGCATACGATTCCTCCCAGCTGAGTATATTGATTTGTTGAGCTGCTTGGAAAATGGGCTCTTGAGCGAGCAGCTTTTTGGTGTATGAAAGGTCATCTTCAAAAGGTAAAGCAAACGACTGGCAAGCTAATGTTGTTATGACTATTGATGTAGTTAGAATAAAAGATTTCATGGGAAGAAAAAGATAATTGAGGAGAAAAGGGATAACAAAGGTTTAATTTTTAATTTATACAAGGCAGGGTAACAGATAAAAAAAAGTTGTTGTGGAGAAACTTACCCCGTATTTGCTTAATGACGTTCAATCAACAATGACCGAAAATAGAAGAGAAAATCACTCAGTTTTATTAGGTAAATACAGCTTGATTTTTGGTAACAAATAAATGTCATTCGGAAAAAGTGCGATTTACATAGATTAAATATTTTCAATGTTTGTATAAAAAGAGAAAAGGCGGGGAACAAACAATGTAATAACCTGTTTTTACCGTACAGAAAAATAATTTTACAAAGGAGGATCTAGCTACTGTTAAACATTAGCGTGAAAGTGGACGTCGTCCGCTACATAATCTTCCACAGTGTACAAAGTTAGCGTGAAAATGGACACTTCTTGCTAATGGAGGTTTCAATTCTTATCATTAGCTTATAACAGATACCATACCCACAAGACATTGATAGTTCTTCAAATAAATACTATATAACACAGGATAAAAAATCGATGCTTAAATTTGCACGCAATATAATATACATGTATAAAAGTATATTTATTCAGATGTTCACCGAACTCATAATATTGGCATTGTCGCATTAAAGCGTTTATGTGCTTGTCAGTATAGTTAAATGTGAAAAAAAGGGGGATTATTTTCTGTGATGGTATGGACACCTTACCCTCCGGTTCATTAGCAAAACATGCACACATCTGTTCTTTTATGACTTGATGCCTAACACAAAAAAACACTCGGTGTCTGTGCTGCAAAAATATATCGTGAAGATAGCAAAGGTCCTGTCTATAAATAAATTAAATCATCATTTATGTTCTGGCTCAAGATGGCAGGGTAAAACAGAACTCCTATCGGCTGCTTATCTATAAATATGAGAACGCAAATAGCGTTGAGCAAGACAATCAAGAATTTATATGTCGGTATATGAGTTAAGAATTTTAAAAGAGATGAAGTAAACGTTTTCTTTTAAGTTTGGGCAGGATGTATAACCATGTTGCTGGAATCGATCGTGATTATCGCATGACAATTTCTTGTTTTCAGGCAAATAATCAAAAAATTGAAAAAGGTCATATGTATTACTTGATGGGATTCATGTACGAGATTAATGGAGATGGAGTCGTAGAAGATTACTTAAAGGCCTTAGATTCATATACAAAAGCAGCTGAACATGGTTGTGTAGATGTGTATGTTAACATTGACTCTTGCCTTATAATGGTGAAAGTGTGATTACACCAAAGAATACGATTATTTTCAACAAGGGCGTCTATGATGGCAAATATGCACAGTCAGGGATATAAAGGTAAAGTTAATCTCAGTGAGGTTGTAATGGATCGTTATAGAAAAGCATTAGAAGGTGTCTATGATCTTGCTTAACTAAAATAGAACAATAATGAAGCAATTACCAATGAAGCGTGTGTTTCTAAATCGTCAGAATAGTCAAGACGTTTGTCTTACTGGCTTGAGCCCTATTTACTATATTTTTGGTGTTGATATTTCGAACTACATATTGAAAACGGGCACATCTACTTGTCATACTAGATATTGCTATGTAAGACACGTCCTTGATTTTGTATTTCACTGGTGTTGATCAAGGCAGTCTTGACTACGACAGTTTTTGTACATGCACTTTCCAAATAATGCCAAGTGTATCTTTTATCCCCATAGTCCAACTATTGCTCTCTTTTCATGTTCATACAGGTGCATATTGTCATATTTAGACTACCGACCCTTTACTCCCACTTCAGTAATACTTTATGATCACTGGATCCAGCTACCTTGATAGTACGAGAAGCATTTAAGATCATTTTGGGATGGATTTTCAAAAGACATAATCTACACGTACAGGAACACTAACGATCTGGTTTAAATATGGCAAATTGAATTTATTAAGATTTGCATCACAACAAGACAGAAGTTTTTCCTGCAGAACTACAATCACTGGGTTTATTAATATATGAAGCATGCATACGATATAATTATTTACTAATTTTCGTAATACGTATCCACTTCAATTGTATATTAGTGTGTATGAACCAACGTATTACATACAAAAAATAACGTTTACAAGTGATACAAAGTTTAATCCTGTAAATAGGCCATCACAGCTTTTTTTATGTGAATCGGTGAAATGTCGATGCTCGAGTTTCACCGATTTGCGCTTATTGTTTCCATTGGGCAGGGTGTTTAAATAAATAAATCCAACCAAGTTTTGCAATTATACTCTTGACGTTCTGTTTTCCCGCCTCTTCTTCCTTCTTTCCTCTTCACTAAAATGACTACTTACAAGGCTGAGAATTTCCCTGCACTCCAAAACGATCTTGTTCTTCGTGCCTCTCGTGGTAGGTTATATATGGGATCACTCATTAGTAGGACTATTAACTAAATCACAAATTAACATTAGGCGAGAAAATTGAACGCGCCCCTGTTTGGATTATGAGACAAGCCGGTCGTTATTTGCCTGGTAATGTATACAATAGCAAAGAAAGAGTGGAGATCATAGAACTTCCTTTCTGTGACAATGTATATATGCTGACAAACATGTATTAGAATTTCACGAGATTAGAAAGGATCATAGTTTTTTCGAAGTGTGTCGTACACCTGAACTTGCTTGCCAGCTCACTCTTCAACCTATCGATCGTTATGGCAAGCTCTTGGATGCTTCAATTATCTTTTCAGATATTCTCGTTATTCCCCAAGCTATGGGTCTTGAAGTGCTTATGGTTCCTGGTAAAGGACCTGTGTTCCCTGCTCCTTTAGAGACACCTGCCGATTTCTCTCGTTTGACTGAAAATGTAGACGTCGAAAAGGAATTAGGTTATGTTTACCAAGCCATTACTTTAACCCGTCATAGACTTGAAGGACGTGTGCCTTTGTATGGTTTTATTGGAGCTCCTTGGACTTTAATGGCTTATATGATTGAAGGTGGTGGAAGTAAGACTTTGCATAAGGCCAAGGGCTGGTTATGGAAGTATCCCAAGGAATCTCATGCTTTATTACAGCGTATTACTGATATTGCCATTGAATTCTTGGTGGGTCAAGTAAAGGCTGGTGCCCAGGTAAAAAAAAAATGTTTGAACTCCCCCCCTGGCGGAATAAAATTAACGTGTTACCTAATAGATGCTTCAAGTCTTTGAATCATGGGGTGGTGAACTTTCACCCGATGCCTTTAAGGAATTCTCTCTTCCTTATATCAGACAAATCTCTAACAAGGTTAAAGGGCGTTTGACAAGCGAAGGTTTGGATCTCGTTCCTATGACCATTTTTGCTAAGGGTTCTTGGTACGCTCTCGAAGATTTATCCGAATCAAACTATGAGGTTGTTTCTCTTGATTGGACTATTGACCCTGCATATGCTCGCAAAATGACCAATGATAAGGTCGCTCTCCAAGGTAACATGGATCCTACCGTTCTTTACGGCGGCGAAGATGCTATTCGTACTATTGCTACCAAGATGGTACACGCTTTTGGTAAGGATTCAAAGCACATCGTCAACTTGGGTCACGGTATTTTACCCACTGTTGATCCTGAGGCTTTGAAAGTTTATCTTGAAACCGTTCAAAAGGTTTCTGCTGAAATTAGAAAGTAAAAGTAAGGAAAAAACAAAATGTAATATAGTCCAGTCGTCATTTTTTTTTATTATTTAAAATAAATCATACAAATCAGAAAGGGTAGGGTTATGTGTGGGGAGATGTAAATAGTCTATGGAGTTGTATAAATTAGTAAATTATGTAGAAATAATATTCGCAAGGATATATCATGCAAGTTTTTTTTTTTTTTTTTTATGAAAGATTAGTAACCACTTTTGATTCTTAATGCTTCACCCTTGAGCTTAAGGATGACTAATAAGATACAGGCAATCACACTCAATGCGGCCAAAAAGACACAGGTGTATCCAGGTCCAATAGCTGCAACCATAGGATTGGCAGCAAGGGTCAAAGCACAAGCCAAGATCATACGAACCAAGTTAGCAGCGGCAGTGGCAGAAGCTCCTTGACCAGGGATAGCATCAACAAGATAAGCAGACGTAGATGTCATTACTTGATTCATACCAAATGTTTGAATACCAAATGCAACGATAGGAGCCCAGACAGTAAGTCCACGTTCAATTGACCAACCGAAAAGCAAAATACCAAAAGGGATGACAATGAAACAACAAGGCCAGAGATTAGCTGTCAAACGATCTTCAACAACCGCTCTACCGCCACGAAGTCTACGGGATCGCATTAAGAGACGATCTGAGAGCATACCACCAACAAAAGAACCGAAAAGGTTACCGACGCCAGCACCAAGATAACTCAAACCTAAAATTTAAGAATTAATATGGTGTACAGAAAATATCCGCGAAATAATTTACCTGTTTGCCATGAGTTAAATCCATAATGGGATTCATATAAGTCGGGAATGATAGTTTCAACAGCGAACATACAGCCAAATGCGATACCCGAAATGACAGCTGATAAAAGGATAAATGGATGTTTTAACAAAATGAAAGCACCAAATGGGTTCACTGGTTTTCTAACAGGGGCGACAAAAGTCTTTTCCTCGTTCTGTGTAACCGTCCCATCTTTTCCGTTTTCATCAATTTGAGGTTGCTCATCAAGAGTATCGCTGATTGAAGATGTGCTGGTAGGTAATACCATATCGTATTTCTGATTATCACGGTAAGTTTCGGGGAAGAATAAGAAAAGACAGGTGAAGATAAACAATGCAAAAGCGAAACAGAACCAAAATGTAGCACGCCACGAAAGAGCACTCATAATCAGGAAACCACCAATGATAGGACCTAACAATGGGCCAAAAAAGACACCAAAAAAGAACTTACCAAAAGCTGCACCTCTTTGTTCGATAGCGTAACAATCCTATTAAAAGAAATTGCGTGAGAAACAAATAGATACTATTAAAACGTTTTTTATGCACACTTACAGCAATAATGCCTATTCCAGATCAAAAAAGGTAAATTTGTGAGTAACCGAGGTTCAAGAAAAATCAAATTTTTATTTTATTACCTGCACCAACAGATTGTCCACAAGAAGCACCAAGAGATTGAACACAACGGAGTACAACAAGACCCCAGATATTGTTGATGAAGGCTGATCCAAGAGATGCTGCTGCAAAAATAAGCATAGAAGCCATGAGCAAAATACGACGAACTCGATAAAAATCAGAAAGTGATGCCCAAAAAACAGGAGCAATACCCATCGCTAAAACAAACAAAGCTGCTGTCAATGTTGTTGCAATAGCAGGTGCATGTAAATCAGCAGTAATATAAGGCAATCCTAAAATTATCGTTAAAACTGACTGTTGTTTTCGTTGTATTGGTTGGAAACTTTACCTGGAAAATAAATTGTACTAGAAAATCCTGCTGTACTCGCACAAAGACCCAAACATATCAATATAATGGCCTTGGATCCTGTTTTCAACAATCTTGGATCAGATAAGACAGGAGGACGGGGTAATAATCGAGATTTCAACATTGTTTTCCATGCTTTTTCTTCTGCCATTTTCTTATTAAAAAAAGTATCTATTAAGAAAAAAAGAAAAGAAGTAAAAGGCTCGAGCCATATTTATGCTCATTTTTTTTTCCAGGCCCAGTGTCACACTTTTATTTTATTTTGTCCGGTTTCTCCCCGCCTTTTGAAATTCCGTGGTGCCGCGCCCCTCATGTTTTTTATTATTATTTGAATAACATAATATTCGTTAATTTTTGTAAATAGTTTTGTATCCCTAGTGATGGTTCGGCTTCTATTCAATGGTTTATATTTATATTTGGAACCAAAACAACAATAACTGCGATGCTAAATACTGTGAAAATAGACAGCCATTGTGATTTTTTATTATCAGATCTACAAAATAGTTAAATTAAACATTATGATCTACCTAACGGACAGCGTCGTGTCACATCTATGAAAAATTACTAACCGGCAATCCGCGCAATGTTTGGTATAAAAAATCTACAATTGCAATGAAGAAGTTGGCCAAATGCACAGTTTGTAGGCTGTTTATTAAGGACAATTGCAGGCACTCACGGTTAATTTAATTGCATTGACCTTAA